AGGCGAGTTATATTATGGGTTGTTGGATTGTTTTACAGTATTTTAAATAACTGTCAAGGGTTTCAACACGCTGAAAGGATAGGATCAATGAAGTCGACAAAAAAGTTACCACCAACAAAGAAGTGGCATCTGACAAAAAAGTGCCTAACATTACAATTAAAATAATATAACAGTCATGTATGCATGCATACATGTAGTTTAGTTTTTCTTTTTCTTCGAATATTCAAACTGGCAAAAAAATTGGATATTCGGTCAATGATCGAATATTCGGAACAGCCCTAACGAGAACTGCTATTTATACTAATGAAGACTTATTTCAAAAGTTGTTACATTGCCGTACTTATCCTGCGCGACCACTTATGCACGACTCTAAATGAGTACCCACATTTCACTGTCATTGCTTAACCACCAATGTAAATGTTCCGGCACGTTCCGGCCAGGAAAATCTTTAAACAGTGCCAGGATTTCCAGTGATGAAAGATCGCGTTGTTATTGGTTTGTATCCAACGAAAGGTATCACTGACTGCACTCTGTCAACGTGTGCTCTCGCATACTGATTTGACACCAAATTGCTGGAGATTTTGCGCGCAAACAGCGAGTGGGAAGAATTTAGTAGAATTCCTAGCAATGTGCACTGTCTTATGTAGACTGTCCGCTGTGAAATTTACAGATGACCCATTTTGATTGAAGTTCCGACCCAGTTTACCTGTTTGTTCTTTTCACGCAACCTTCTATCTCAACACCTAAATGTACAAAAACACCCACATCTTCTAAAAATATCAGACGAGCACGTCATCAACGTCATGACAGCAAAAAGCTTGCAAGACCAGAAAAACATTTCAAGAGCACTTATAGGAAAAGAGTATACACTGCAACAGTTTGCCTCAAATTGTACAAACACCTGTACCGACAACGCTGTACACTATTGTCCCCTTCATCAATTATCATATTTATGCATGGAATTGTAGATTCTCTACTCCGAATGCTATGAGCTTTTATTGGGGTTGTTTGTTTTCATGAAGGTTGATTACTTATACATCTGGGTACTTAAAAAATCACAACGAGTCAAAGCTGGAAGTTTAGTCAAGATTTCAGAAAGTAAAAGATCCTGCAGCTCTGATCTGTGAATAGTCGACTAGCCAAAGCTGGGGGCAAATTCGAGGTTTTGAAATGGGAAGAATGGTTAATTACTAGTTCCACTTGGAGTAAAAGCACAATCTGAAACTCTCTCCAGCATCTGGGAGTCACAAGTACACATTAACGGTTATCAAAGGAACCGCCATGATTGATGGTCGTCCTGGAATAGCTCGGTGAGGAGGGAGAGAGCCCAGACTGATGTCATCAACAAGGAACACTTTGTTCATTCGGGTTGATGCATATCTCATCTTGAAAGGATAAATCACTTGGAATTTGAACAAATTTTTCATGCTACATGTCAGTGATGACACACATGTGTACATTGTACATGTTTTCATCTTCACTTCAAAACAGGAGTGCTTGAAATACTTCCATGTTTTATTGACATGGTTTTTCCAGGGGGGGCGGAGGGCCGGGGGCCGGGGGGGGGGGGGCCTGACCACTCACGTAAATACTTGTACACGTAGATGTTTCGATACCAAGTCATTGACCAATCCCTTATCAAAACATTTGACCGTATCTGTAATGAATTTAAGAGATTTCGATTTCAAATTAAAAGTTCCCTTCAAATCAATGAATAATTAAAAGAATTATATGCTGATTTTTTAAAATAATTTTTATCCTCATTTCGACGGCAAGTGGTCAGAAATACTTTGGGTTTTATAAATTAATTTTTTAACAAGCTCAAGTTATTATCTTGGAATATTTACAAATCATGTGAGATACAGGCAAATCTCTGTGACGGAAAATGTAGTGTCACGAAACCATTCTATTTCTGAACTTACATTCTCCCTAGACAACCGTCATCGAACAGCTGAAAGCTCCTAGTTTATGATTTCCAAATTTCCAAAATTCCTAGTCTTAATGTGCTAAACCTGAAGCTGAACCTCTTAACAACATTGATTTAAGTCCTACAAGTGAGCTTGAACATCTGTAGATAGGAATGAGGTACATGCTTCACATTGATATGTAAACAATCCATGATATTATGGATATGATGACAAACCAGACATGAATCTAAATGGAACATCCCTGGAGGTAACCCACCTGCATGGTGAGAGGTGCTCTGGCATATTGAGGAATAACCCCCAACCTTTCAATGTCCAAGAAAACACATTTAATGACAAAGCTTTTATACAGCTCTTGAGTCATATCAATTTCAATCTCTCTTGTTGCTTATTCTAAACACAACCCAAAATAAAATTTGAAAAACAAAATTGAGACAGTTTCCTTGTGAAGGAATCCTTCATTCCAAGATCTGTAGTCTGGCTCCGTTTCATGCCCGGAGCCAGCATTTAATCTTAGTCCCATAGTGGCCATAGGACACACTCAAGAGAACCTATTTGAGGAATTGGTACAAGGGCTGAAACCGGAAACTCGTAGGATCAAAACAAACGGAGAGAGTCCATCGCTAATGGGACAGGGACACGCTTGTAGTCAACACAGCCCAAGCTACATAGTACCTAACAAATAAAAGCACATATGAGTACACGTAGTATGACACACATTGTAAGTACGACCTGAAAATCGTGTGAGAACTCTCATCTCCATCGTGTGCCAAATATTCTTAATGAAAGAGTGTTCGGCTGATGCAACCACGTCACACAGTGATTTTGAAAGCTCAATATTACTAACCTAGCCTATTAGTAAATGGGTGGGTTAATTTCACAGCATTTTAGACTGTTACAAAATTTTCCGCTTTGAGGAAAAAGTAAGTTGAGAAGCAGTCAAAATTAACAAAATCCAAATGGGCTGTTTGCTTGGCAACTGTTTTACCTGGCAGAACTCTTCAAGGGATCAATCCATTTTGAATTCAATTCAGCCAATCTTTGATTTTGTAGCAGAGCTACATGTATGAAATTGGGCCAAGGTTTGGTGTTGGCAGCACTGTACTGTTCTGTACTGACTACTCTCAGTTGAAAGGCCAAAATTTACCAAAGCAGTGGCATACTTTGGTGTTGAACACTGATACTGAATACCCTTGGCAAAGTGAGGCTGGCAATACCCATTACAACCAACGATGCAACGCCTGGCAGAAAATTTATGCAGGTTCAGATATCGGCTTATAGACACCACATATGCAGCATATACCGGTACTCTGCTGATATAAGTTATTGGAGGCGAGTAAACTCAATAGTCCAAGCTAGAAGCCGACCCCATTGAGCTAATAGTAACAAGCTTTGTTCCGTTGACTCTGGTTGGAGCCAATATCGTGTTGCGGGTATCATGCACATTATAAACAGCGCAGTGACGGCCAATCTGCATGCGTAGGGCAGGACTCTGAAGAGAGGTTCAGCTCAGGAGTCAGGAAGAATGGTAGAACTGTAAACAATGATACGCTAGGCTGGCATCCTGTGTCATCGACTACACTGATGAAACGCTGCACGTCAATGTCATGTGGAACACTTGCAACGGATAATCTTACAGACACACAAATCCTTCCCCCTCCAAAAAAAAGGGCATGAAGTGGGATAAACAAGCCACATTCTAAAAATGTCAGAAAACAGCTGGTTTACAGATCTCTTAGAGCAAAAATGTAGACAAAAAAACATACAAATAGCCAGTAGGAAGAGACAGAGAAAACAGTTGACGTTTTTTGGAATGGAATTTAAATTTAAATTAACTCTCCTGCAGTCTGAACAGTCAGACAGTCAAAAATATCAATCCTCTTCCCCTGCCATGCTTTTCACAGTAGTCACCAACAGTCAGATCATATTTCAAGCAAGCACTGTGACTAGTCAAATTCAGTTAATGGACAGAAGCAGGCAAGTTGTGGGCTTACCAATCACCTAAAGTCAAAGCATAGCTGTATCAAGTTACAATGTACACAAACAGTCACAGCCAGTTAATCCTGCTTTATGTAGGCTGGGAGCTCTTAACTGTTAAAAACAGTCACAAGATTGATTTTGACTGAAAGGACACAGAATGATGTTGACATAGGAGGGTTTAATGTGAAAATCTGTTTATGGCTGAAACAGAATTTGAAAATAAATATATATTATTTCAAATAGAATTTCTTTGCAAAGTATATAAACCAAATTGATTTTTACAGTTCTTGACAGCCTTTTACCTTTTTGCCCAAACTCTATTTTGTGACGTACATTTGTACTTCCCAGGAATAAAGATCCCATTGGGAGCACATTCCAAAACTATTTGTGCCTGGCCAAGCAGAAGATTTGGTCAATTGCGCCTCTCAGCATCCCTGCCACGGCTCATTTCAAGCAGTCTGTATGCCTGCACCAGTCTCCCTCGCCTGGCAGAAAGTATAAATTAATTTCTATTTGACTTGCAGGGCCCACTATCAGCAACGGAGCTGTACACGGACGGACGCCTTGAGAGCTCTCCCAGGGGTATTGTGGAAAACGCACGAACACATGGAGTAATTCATCATCTTTTAGGACTCCTGAGATGAACCGGTACTGGTAAAGCTCCAGGCTTTGAACAGTTGGGCACATCTCCGCAGATGCATGCTTCTTGTAAGGGTGTGATTTCAATGAACGGCGTTACGAAAAACCTGTCGTTGTTAACCTCATTTTTCTATGATGAATGGGGTTCCAGAGCCATAATTAAAAAGGGGAAATATTGATTTGATTGAGAACAGGCTGTTTTAACCCGATGGGAAACTCAGCATTGCCGGAGGGGAGATTGCAAGCTTTCTTGTGGAGGAAACTACAGATGGACAATGTTGACAAGTCACACGCAATACGCTGATGTATAACAAATAAAAAGGTACTAATAAGCATCTCAATGGGTGAGTGCACTTTAGCCGACGTCTGTGCACGTGTCAATTATTGACTGATTTTTCAAGACACTGGAATATAAAACTCTGCAAGAACTCTAGGTACTCGAGAGACCGATTGAAAAAACGATCAAAATCTTTTACGAAAAAACAGACAACATTAGAGTTTGACTTTACCCCCAGACGGTTTGGAAAACATTCCCCACCCGAGAGTGGAATTTGATATCCATGAATTTACTCTTTCCCCAACAAAATCAACATTGCCGTCAAGGCTACGGGAAGAGTTCCGAGTGTTCAAACATGGGCAACACAGGAAAGTGATTCATCTATGATGATGGTTCTCCACAATGGATACGCCTGTGTGACCGTTGGGGAGCTGGTGAGCTGAATTTTCTGTTAGGTGATACCAAACACCCCTGGAGGAGTAGGCTCGTGTGGAATCATTAAGTGCCGACGACTGCCGTCATAATAAAAAAATGGCAGGGACAGTGTTGATTGAGACCTTCATGAATGCATCAACAGAGTCGCCGGGACCGATCTACGCTCACTGGTACCCGGAGGTAGCTCGGATTGTACTGGTAACCACATCATTCCTGACGATCGTTGCCAATCTTCTGGTCTTGATAGTGTTCCAGTACATGAAAGCCTTGGAGAATATGACCGGTGTTTTTGTCAAGTCGCTAGCCGTGGCCGATCTGGGAGTTGGGGTTTGCGTCTTTGCTGCCGTCCAGTCTCAATGGGCTGAGAAATGGCCGCACGGTACCGGTATGTGGTCCTGCAAACTCATGGGTTACATCATGGCCATGATGGTCGGTGGATCCATCCTCAGCTTAACCTGTGTCAGCATCGACCGTTACATCGCTGTTATCAAACCTCTCAAGTATCGTTCCATTGTGACCAAGCGTCGCGCTCGCGTCTACGCCGTTGTAGTCTGGGTCTTCGTAGCGCTTATCTTCCTCCCGTCAATGTTCGGCTGGGGTGGTTACGTCTTTGAGGAGTACTCTGACGACTGCAAGAAGCACTTCAATCAGAGTCTGTCTATGTCCTTCTACATCATCTGCATTCTCATCGTGCCGGCTATCCTCATCTCCATCTACTGTTACTTTCACATCTTGAGGGCGTGTCTGGCCCAGACGCGACAGATGGAAAGACTGGAGACGCTCTTCCACGACGGAGAGTCACAGCAAGACGCCACAAGTCGAATCTATGAGAAGATGCTAGCCAAGATATTCCTCATCGTCATCGGTGCGTTCTATCTCTCGTGGATTCCTTTTGTCATCAAGAAGATCATAGAGCTAGCCATCGATGTATCGATTCACCCTGCCGTCAGTTTCTTCACCGCTTGGCTTGGGTTCTTGAACAGCTTCTTGAACTGCATCATCTACATCATCTGCCATCGGTCCTTCCGAGAGGGACTTCACTTGCTCCTGAAGGCCATGTGGCAAGGCATCACCTCCGTTTGTAAAATATCCAAGGATCGGTGTTTCTCGCAACGGCGGGAACGCTCGCAGAGCCAAGTGATGCAGCTACGTGAATTCTCAACCACAGAATGTTAACCTGACCTCGTAGTAAATCTGGACTATCAGAGGATAACGCACTCTGTGACAATTATTTCAGTATTAAAGCCACTTCGATGTATGATATTTTAGATGGAAAAAAACAGACACTATTGTTGAAAAAATATTGAGAAAATATTGTTCTTATTGTAAATTTTTCAAACCAAAGTCAAATACGGGTATAAGAAGATGTATTCGGTGCTTATTACTGTAGATGCCATGGATGTGCTGTGACTTGCCAAAAATCCTTTTAAAATGATAATTAATGCATTTTGGGGAAAATAGTATTTATTTAGGGGTATTTTAAAGAAATCGTAAAAAAGTGCTAACTAGTTATTTGTTTGTCTCACAACCCATATTGGATTTTAAAATGCCATTTGCTGATTTTAAAAAATATTGTAATACAGAAAATTATTACTTTTTTTATTACTGCAATTTCCGTACTGCATTTTAAGTAGTAAATTGTTGATGGAATATTGGGCATATGGGATGCCAATGTAGTATTTACGAAGGCCATTACTCAGACAGACCTTATCTTGATTTGTAATTCCAAAACACCCAAATTATTCTGTGTATTTCTCATACCCAATATGTAGATTTAACTTAAAAATGGCAGCATATAGGCAATTAGCTGGGACATTTATAAGGTTAAGTACAGAAATTGCACTTCCATTTCTTGAATATTTCATTTGGTAAAATGTAGTGGCGGGAGAAATCGGATATTTCAAAATCCGGTTATTCTATTTTTTTTTTCAATGGTTCAATGTTTTTTTTCAATTTTTTCAATGGTTCAATGGTTATTCGATTTCATCAGAAACTCCAATTGAGCTCACAGTCATGCCAACAAATAGTGACGAGTGAGGTGCTGCATGAAATGCCCTCCCAATGACTGGGTATAGTTGGCAGGATTCAAAGACCACTGGGCCTGTACAAAAACACTCCAGAGCTGTGATGTTTAAAAACAAAATGGGTGGGAACTCTCTCATTAGTCCAATGGGCAGGCTATTCATGAAACAAAAAGACCACTAGCGAGTGAAAGCAGTTCCAATCACAGACCATGGAGCAGTTGGGGGCTGCTTGCGTAATTTTCTTCAGCTTGTGTCACAAAAAATGGAAGGATTACTTTTTTATGTAGGTTTCGCATATCCGGTTTCCAAAATTCCAACCGAATCTAAAACAAATCTGTATTTTAATCCCACCTCTTCATTGTATTATAATGCCATTCAGATATTTAGTGGATGATAGGCTATGCAGATACCTGCTAAATTTTAAATTTGGCACAGCACTATGAAGCGTTCAAGTTTAGAGTAAATTTAAAGTTTCTTTGATTTAAATAACAAGAATTATAATCACTGAGAACAAAACGCCTGAAAACAAGCCAAATGATAATATGTTGGAGATAAATCCGCAATATGGGTTGACTGAACTTGAGTTTGAAATTTTAAGCGCATTACGCACAACATAATAAAATCCAAAGAAGATAAAATCTGCTTTAAAAACTCATCTTATCTGCCTATACATGTAGAGCATGTTTTATTTTTTTAAATATGATGTGTGTGTATGGTTGAGTGTACTGAAATACATGTAAGAATAACTGAGAAAATATTTTCATGTATCTTTGCTTCTTCACTGCAATGTATATAAGGACAAGGTTCACGTGTGTCAAACGAGGGCATTATTGTGTATAAATTGAAAAACTAGGCGCCATGCAAAGTATGCATGGTAGCAATGTTTTGCAAAAAAACTTTTGAACACTCTGCTGATGAGTTTCATCATCCCATGTTGAAATTAAAGAAATTGTACAAAGCACAAAAATTCTGCACCTTGCACATTAGCCTATTTGAGATATGGGCAGACACAATAGGAGGGCGCTGTTTGATTTGGGTAAAGACTTTTGTATTTACCAAAACAAAACAGTGCACTCTTACTGTGACCACAATATCTCAAACAGGCTAATTCTGTGGGGTTTTTTTATCAAAGACAAATGTGAACACTAATGTTTAAAAGCTGACTTAAACCCTGCGGTTGAGCTGATACATGTAGTCATGGGAATTATTGTAAAGGGCTTTGAGATTGTTGATACGATGGAAAAGTGCTATATTATAAGCATAACAATTTATTTATTATTTATATTAAAACATCAAAAAGCCCTGGATGTCTCGGAGTTTGGCTGGTGACATTAAAACTCGATAAGCAGTTTGAACCCATCTGAATATACACAGTAATTTGAATATTTGTCACTAATGGAGCCCTTTACTTTGAATAATTATATGCAGTCACAAACTGCAGGAATTCACAATAAACAACTAGAAAGCCACTGAACAGCAGAGTGAAATGAGCCTGCCTCCATGTTCTTTTTACTTAGTTCTTTTTACTTAGTGGCTAATTTCTCTGTAGAATGGGGATGATTTATATTACAACGTCAAGTCAAGGTTTTTTTTCTATTGAAAATTCACTCCCGAGGGGGGGGGGGGGGGGGTTTCAATTTGCATAATCCAAACCCTTATCCATATCCAAACACAGCTCTATGGGGAGACACAACAGTGAGGTGAATGGTAATCTTATGATCCCTGTAAATCCTCACGTCACTATCAAGAAATCATGATGCACTCCCACTGCTTGCCGCACATGCCCTGCAACAGCTACAGTCAGGTCAATGCTGACAACAAAGTCAAGTGATTGCAAAGACAAGGTATGGGAAAACAAGGCAGCAATTAAGAATCTCAAGTCTCAAGAGAGGGCGCTCTTGCTTTTTAGAAGCAAACAGTTTTTTTCTCCCATTACATTGATCACATCTCTGGTATGACAACAGAGGGCGCTATGCTCTGCAGCTGTTCAGTCATTTCCACATCTAGAGAAGAGAGGGCGCTCTTACTTTTAAGAGGCAACTTTTTTTTTTCCTGTCATAACTTGGAGCATATTCCTTGCTAACAAAAGAGGGCGCTATGCTCTTCTGCTGGTCAAATAACTCTATATCAAGCCAAGAGAGGGCACTCTTGCCATTTGGAGACCAAGTTGTTTTTCATCCCCTGGAGCACTTTTCTGGCTGACAACAGAGGGCGCTATGCTCTTCTACTGGTAAATTTACTGTATATCAAGCCAAGAAAGGGTGCTCTTGCCATTGGGAGACAAAGGTTTTTTTGGCATTCCCTGGAGTACATTTCTGATTGACAACAGAGGGCGCCATGCTATTCAGCTAATCTAACAATTCTTTTACAAGCCAAAAGTGGGCACTCTTCTTACTAAGCAGAAAAATTGCTTTATATTAATCAAAAGCGGGCATCATGCTTCAGTTCCAATGCTTGCTATTTTCAACTTTCAAATCAATATTGATTTACTTCAAAATAAGAAAATCTCAAAAATCATTTGTTAATTTCACAACCAACTGGTGAATAATCAACTTACCTTTGTGATAAGGACCCTGTATTCCTCCATGAGTCCCTCACAATCCTTCACCCCAGCCAGTAGTTGCCAGACCTCCCCACGCAAGGCCTCAGGGATACCCTTACGCACCATGGAGCGGAGCTGTTTGGGTCTCAGACTCAAGTTGCCGCGCCATTTGGCTAGGAGGTCTCCCCACGTCAGTAAGATACTCTCCTCGCAGTCTTTGTCTACGTTGCCTGAACCGCTCTGTAGTGGTTCATCGTCGTCTGAGTGAATAAAACAACCAGGCTTTTCATCAGGACTGAGTCAAATGAAACCATTCAATATTTACATATTTGAATTTTCATTGAAGCCCATGTCCAAACATTTAATTTTACAAGGGCGATATTCATTGAGTTTTACTTTTTAGTTTAGTCCTTTTTGTATGATGTTCAATGTTTATTTTCAATGTGAATTTTACATTGAATGTCAGAAGAGTACAATCTTCTTAGTTCTAGAACATCTGACATTAGCCAAGAATGATGTTACAAAGAGATCATCAAGCACAAACATGAAAAGCACATGGCAAGGATTAAAAAAGTTGCAAAATTGTTGGACAAGATGCACAAGCTTGCTGGCGTTGGATTGAACATCACCAGTGAGGATGTGTTCAAGTTGGCATTTCCCTGACACATAAGATTCCATCAGAAAGTCCAGACATTGTTGGTTCTACTCACCACTTTCTTCCTCTGGGACTGATGTCATGCTGTCTGGGGTCTGTACCAGGTTGTTGCTGGGGGAGCGTGTGGGTATCCGTCGCCTCTCACGCTGTGACTCACTCTCAAGACTCAGTACCGAATACGCCGGCTCATTCTCAACAGCTGCTTCCGTCTAAAAAGTAAATAATAGTCATTTCTTCACTCGGAATTTCTTCAACCCATCTGAATTTCGTGCACCTCATAACATATATGTTGAGGTTGGAAAAACTTAGTGTAAACATACAATATCGCAACATGACAGAAACATATAAACCCTAACCTTCCCAAATCCTCCAAAAATCCTCTTTGCAAAATGGAGGATTTTGCAGGATTTAGGCTATATGGCAAAATGTGTGGCTGATTCTGGAAGATGTTCTGTGTCAAGGTCTTGGGCCGGACCTTATGTTGTTTGTGTTCAGCCATGCATACATTTAGGCCTAGATTATACTTGAAATCCTCTGCACTGCTCCAGGTTGTCACTGGCTCTGCCTCAACATATTGACAGTGATTGCTGGATGATTTTGCAGGTTTGAGGCAGTGGTCACCCCTCCAAAAACCACATTCAAGAAACAACAGAGGATTTTGCAGGATTGAGGTTGCATCCTGGCAAAAATGCCAAGGGAGTTAGGGCTAAGACAGCAGCGTTGTAGTCAAGTCTGTCACAAGTCGTCAGAAGATAATCACAAGTCATCACAAGTCATCACAAGTCATCACAATGACAAAGGCATTCCTTTGTTATTGTTCATCTGACTTGTGAATTAACTTGTGATTTACTTCTGACAGGACTTGTGATGGACTCGACTACAACGCTGTAAAACAGACAGTAAACCAACCTCCTCCAACATGAGATAGAAGAATTCGTGGACGGGCTTCTTGTTGAAATACCAGAACTTCTCGCTGGATGGAAAGATACGCACTTTGGTCTCCACGACAAAACGGACTGGCTCCTGGATGCCGGTGATCACTAGATCCACAGCGATGGTCATAAACATGCCTTTATCTGAAAGGGAACAAGACCAAAGTTTAACTGGTGATTGGTTCCTACTCCAAGCAGATTACTTCTAGGACAGGAGCTTATTATGAGCAGACTTACCTAAGCCAGGAGGGGATTCAGTGTTGAGTACCTCCAGATCAGCTTTGTTAGGATCCCACATACTGAAGACGGTGTAATTCTTGCCATCAGAACTGGTCTCAAGGTTAACCTCGTAGAGATAAAGAATCACAATATGAAATGAATACGGTCAAATTGAGCCTCTGAAATTCATCAACGTCAGAACCAACAAAATCTCACAGCCAATGTTATACATCCGTAAAGCAGCAGAAAGTGGCTTTGAATTCCTGGGGTCAAAGGTTATACCTACCACATCAAGCAGGTGCATCTCCCTGTCTGGTACCTCTCTCCCCGGACTGATTAGAAGACCAAAACACCTGCAGATTGGATGAAAAAAAGTTCAAGGAACCAGTCTAAAGTGTCTGACTCATGAGGTTGACCAAATTCTCACACATAGATTTAGTTGGCAGACTCAGAGAGCAGACATAATTTTAGCTGCTAAGACTTGTGATGCTCCAAATGGATCAAGTCTCATTTTCAAGATTGAAGACTCAAGACTCAATATTGAGCACTCTGTGATGACTCTGCTCTACTGTCACTACTACCTCTTTCTTAACTTCTTGCCTCAGCTTGAAGCATCTCTAATCCCTCCGCACCACTCAGACACAAGACTCATAGACTCAAGATTCAAAACTCAACCACTTACCTCTCAATATTAAGCACTCGGTGATGACTCTGCTGTACCGTCACCACCACCTCTTTCTTAACCCCCTGCCTGAGCTTGAAGCATCTCTTGTCCCGCGGCACCGCTCCAAAGTTGCCCCTACCGTCATCCTCCCTAATGTCCACCAGGAGAGGGATAGTGAAGCTCATCAGGGTCTCGCGAGGTGAAGCCAGGGTGCCGGGGGCGCTGTCTACTAAGCCTGGGCTGCGAGGCACTCGATGGAAAGCCTGGCCAAAACACGTTAGGATTCGCTGGACCTGGCAAGTGAACGTAAGGAAAAAAAATCACAAATCTTGTCAGTGAATGAAGTGTGAAGATAACAATTCATGACCGACACCATGAACTGACTCTCGGTGGTGTGCGAGTGCCCGGCACGCGCACGTACTTTACAGTACTACGTGTGCCCACTCCGTGCATTTTCATTTTCACCGTTTAAAAGGTACTTAATTCAATGTGTCTGTAACCCCACAACTGTATAGATGGAGTACATTTGTGTCAAACCTTTCAAAGCGTTTTTCTCCGAATTGTATTTCAGCAACCGCCAACATACTTGCGTTTCAATTCGTGTAGGGTGTCAGTGTACGAAGTGCACGCACATTATCACCGGTGTGTCGGTTTGTGAAACCGAAATCATTGGTTGCGCGGTTTCCACAAACTGAAAGCATACAGTGCTTGAGTGTCAGTGAAAATGGTTATGTGTCCTACCCAATATTTTAACCCTAACCCCAATTCTGTAAGAATCTTCCAAATTTTGTAAGAATCCTCCAAAATTTGAGCTGTGGAAAAATGCTATAAATTATCACTGTAATCCAACACTTTATCATGACTATGTCACACCACAATTTTTGATCCTGAAACTTGGCATATAATGTGATGCCACATAATGTGATCAAGTATTCAAGCATATTTTGGGAACATGTGGTTTTTATATAGTACCAAATTAGATTAGGTTTAAAGGTAGGTTTACAGCTATCCATAAAGTAACCGACAAGAAAAGTATCTTGACAACTCCTCTTTCCCCTAAAGTGACCACCACCCCCCCCCCCCCCTTATTCCCCTCTTAAATGTGTCTTGACTTACAGCTTCAGGGACCTCACATCTGAAGATATGGCACTGGAAGAGTTGACTCTCTCGGTTGCCATGGCCACAGGTGAAGGCAAAGCAGTCACTGATAGTGGTACCCTCCCGACCCCGGCAACAGAATAAGATCCTAGTGATGCGATAGGCTGAGATCTCTGACTTCCCATCAGTCTCCAGTAATCTAAACAACCAATCAGAAAACACATTTACGTGTAAGACTGTGACGAATATTTGAATATCTAGAGAAACCAATTATGTAATATGTGAGGCGCTCTGGCAAAATGAGATGGAATATAGTGGAGAAAAATTGCCATAGTGGAGGAAAATGCCAAATTTTTTTTTATTTTTTTTGATTTTCAGAATTATTGACATTTGTAACCTTTGACATGTTTGACGTCTACTCCACATACTTTAAAGAAATTGTGTAAAAATCCTGGAATCAAAGGATTTTTTTAAGGAAAAACAAATGGCATCTTTCATTTTCACGACTACAAACCTCAAAACTTTGAAAGTAATTTTGTCAGTATTTTTCTCAGTACGTCGATAAATGCAAACTTTTACCCAGCCATAACTTGTCAATGGAAAGTCCGATTGAAGTGCAACAAACAGTATTGTTAAGAGAATTTTATTCTCTTTTCTAATACCTGAAAACCCTCATTTTGACCCCTGCACCGTTCTGTCTCATTTTGCCTGAACGCCTAAGTTTTTTTCTCTTTAGTTTGAATTTGAATAATTTGAAGTCAACGGCGCGAATTAAATTTTGCACAAGGAAAGTAAATACAAACTAAATATTTTTACAGGATACCAGTCATTTCAGGATGTGAAACCCAGTCATACGCCACGGAAAATTTAAGACAAATGTAACCTTTTTTGGGAACCATCTATGTACTAACATAACTTTGTCGTTCCAATGCCAACCACTGTGTGGTTACAACAAGACTCCGAGAGGAGACGTGAAAGACAAAAATCAATGGTCTGAACTAATTAAAGGCAAGTGAAGCGTGCATCTTAATATGCACAGCTAATCCACAATGAGAGGGCCTTAGTTCATGTACAGTACATGGTCATATGGTATGCACTGAAAGTAAAGGAAAGATGAGATGGAATATACAGTGAACTAATTTTCATTTGTACTAAGATAACTACTTCATTTACTGCGTTTTCTTGAGAAAGTACCACAAAACTCAAAATGTTGACATTGTGTATCTTCTACATTTTGTTTTTAGTGGGCTTGGATTTGTCCTAAAATAAGTTATAATTGATTGAAAGTTTCCCACATTTTTTTTCAGAATTTAAAATAACACCCCTCTTAAAAATTGCTCCATCAAGCCTCTATGAACGGATGGACAAATTACAGGTATTCAACTCAACTGGGAATAACCGAAAACGGACAAAATTCCGAGCTTTCCAAGCATGACTTTATACAGTGTTTTTTTCCTTCAAGTGTGAAGTGAAAAATCAGATGATCTGAGGAAAAGTTACCTGCCTAAAATTAGCATGTTACCACTGAGAGAGCACACATGATTACGTCAGATCATCGGAATTGTAAATCCTCAAACCCAAGAGATTTGGCTAGTCTAGCGTGTAGTTCATGAACTTATTCTAATTGTATGATTCCCGTGTCCCAGGGGTAAAATTCCTCCCACGCCATCTGCAGGCTTCATCCCGCAAAGCCGAGGAAGAAACGGAGGAAAAATCAATCCGGTCCAAAGATGTCAGGCTACTGGTGCACTTGGCTTATTTGCAGTGATTAAGACTGAGACTCCAGGTTTCATTTTCGTAATCTTTCAAGCAATAAATCATGCATGTTTCATCAGAATGATTGTTAAACAATACTGCACAACAAAAAGCTGCTTGTTTTTGTTAGAACATTTATGTACCTTGTACGATAAATATTTGTATTTTCCCAATTCTCTATTCTTCGTCCTTTGATGAAATATTTGGTCATAAAAACAGGAATAATTATAGGATTGGACAGAAAAATATGTTTTATTGTTGAAATGTTCAGAAGATTATTTGCATCTACATGTACGTTGTATTTTGAGAAGGAAAGATTCAACATTATTCAAGAATCTAGTTTGTATGCCACCACTGATCCTATAACAGCCACACGACTAAGAAATACCCACGTGAATGCATGAATATTATTTTCATTCAGTAGGATAACTAACACCTTTTCATATTCCTTGTACACTTGAAGAGTTTACATAACTTGCAGCTAACAGCAAGAATAAGACTGCGCATACCTCATACATGTACTTATTATTATTACCCAAAGTTGAAAAATTGTATGAATAAAATAAAAACAAACATAGGTTCTTTTCTCTTTTAGGTTTCAATGTTTTGTCAAAGTTTCCATTTTATTAAATTTTTGAACGTGAAATTGTGTATAAATTGACACAAAGGTAACGTGACACTGGCTGCCAATCATTTTCACATACTTCAGTGCAGGTGGATGACTTTCTGCTGTGTGGAATTCAGTGCAGACTACATGTACATACAGGGGCCAACTACGATGTACATGTGTACGAGAGTACTGTTTGAACAAATGAATTGTGTACATTCCCAGCATTATAATTTCCGCTCTGTGCACAAAAAATCAAAGAACCAAACCACCGATTCTTGTCACTCACTTCTGTGCCAATAATAGATTGCTACATGAATATGTGTGCATGTGGCAGGTGGGTTTGGGCATTCTGAGGCAAACATTCAATGTTAATCATTCATAAATTTCATGTACCGGTACATTGTAGACTAGAGCTTCGTTACAAACATACCCAACTTCTTTCTGTTTAGTTTGGTTATAATTTAGATTGATATCCCACAATCTGGAACATGGTGAATCTATAAGATATTACCTACAATATATCTAGCAGGACATTAACAGACACGTTTCAACGGTGGCAACTTGGGATTTTCCCTATTCAAACCGAGTCCTACAATCACTTACACGGCTTGACATATTTTAGTGTTGTTATCTTTCAACTCTCAGTAATGTAAACCTTCTGCATAACCAACCACAACAGTGCATAAGGATAGATACATGTAGTTGCAGGAACAGCCATGTTATCCTTACACAGCTCCGACATGTCTGAGACGTTTACCCAAAACAGGAATATTAGAACACAACTAAATGCTCATACAATGCTTTTCTAGTTTCTATTCCCAAAGTACACATTGCAAAGCAAACAAACATAATACATGTACATGTACCGTAGCCCTAAATGAATCTTACATTATTGACAGTACATGTAGAGTACATGTAGATCATTTGTCATTTGTACATTTTTTTCGTTTAAAGCAACAAAAGTGCTCAAAAACTAAAGACGAGTGCTTAACAACTAACGTGATGAAGTTTCAGCTCAGTGAATGTTGTAGCATATATTTAAAAAAAAAAACAATATTCTAGGATCTCGATTTCAATCAAAAAAGTTGCATAGTCATGTTTTGACCTGCGCCCGAAATCAGCATCCGGGACACGTTCTCATTCAGCTGATTGCAGCTACGTGATGGCACGCACCGAACCGATGAATAACAGCAATCGCGCGCACGTGTATATCGTGTCAAGGCTTGCGCGCACCCATTCACAAATTTGCTGAATTACATGTACATACCAACAAAAATTTCTAAAAATTGCATCACTTGACGTACCTTTTTTTCCCTTCAAAATGACAGCATGCCACAAGGAATAATTGCACACAGTACAGGGAGTCTAGTGCCATTACTATCGTTACTTTAAAAACCAAGTAAGCTTTACAATGTCAATCACTATGTCAGTTACTTTTTGGATAGCTGCAAATGATCTACTCTACCCTCAACCATACATGGTAATATTACAAACAAACCTTTATAGGCCTACATGCAGTACATTTTTCATTTAAGAAGAAAGAGAAAGTTTAAATACCAGAATCCTCTAAGTCCAAATCAAAGTCAGAGCCTGGCACAGTAATCCTGGCAATCAACCATCCGTGAAAGGTTTGAACAAGAAAAGCATCGGTGCGTACTGTTTCCAATAGCAAGATGCATTACACCCACTCAAGACAAGGGCATACTGTAGCCAAGTCAAGCAGTGATGGAATAAAGCCTCAGGGAGATTGGGGGGGGGGGGGGTGTTCAGCTGATCCAAGACCGAACATAGCTGGGGGTCAGGCTAAAAGGTCACATGCCGTATCCATCATTCTATCCCCCCCCCCCCCTCCACTATCCCCCCCCCCCAACCTCTTGAAAGATGACGTCAGTGTGTTGATTATCCAAAGCAAGGAGATTTACCATACGGTAATCGCTTTCATTTGGCGTGAATCATGCTCCATCGCTGATTAGTTCATGAACGGCTGGGGCAGCAGCCGCGGATTGACGACCACATGTAAATCAGAGAGGGGGGACTTTTCATTAGGTTGAGCGTGCGTGTCGTGCCAACAGCTATTATATGGGGAAATAAAATGTCTTCATCGTGACAAAAATGTGGACACAGTCAGACGGAAATTAAAGACTGTGTTGTGCCAATACAAACAGACCGACTGTACAGATTATAATGTACATGTACATTGTACACTGTACTACACAGACGTTAAGATACAATGTACACAGTACATAACATGTACGTGTATGGCCTACATTTCACAAACAGATATGAGATAAAGGAACCGTCTTTGTTCCAATGGCAAATTAAGGTTCAGATAAATTTGACGGAGTGACCCACATGTATGTATTTTCTGTAATGAATCTACTGTACAGTATATGTTGAACATTTATAAGTTGCTTTAAGAGAATATAATGCGAGAACATGTTTTACTAAGAATTATTTTTGGTCAGCAAATATTGGTCAGCAAAACCAAATTATCATCGATCAAACAGGAAGGCCGTTTGGAAAAATCGTAGTCCTTTGAAATCATACAAGGGGGAAAATATAAAGACAATTGAATAGATAATTGAAATAAGGCCATACTAATACAACAATAGATAACGCCACTGTTTCACATGGATGACTCATCCATGTACAATGCGTAAGTTTCATTCTATGGTTTGATCTGAGTAATCATGGCCATGCATAGATGAAGGAAGGACACTATGTACAATACAATTGGTTAGTGTACACGAAGTGACGAAGACACATGAAAATCATTCCTCTCAAATTAAATTATAAATCGTTTTAATTTCTTGACACATATAGTGGTGGAACATGTATGTATTTATATGCAGTGAAATTGCAATCAAGTCCAATCCAGTGTGTAGTTCTTGTTCATGATGACTCATATTATTTTTTTACCTCAAATGAACAAGATGTGATATTCATTTTCTGTCAAAATGATTTTGCCAGCTGCACATTATGCTCGATATTTACATACAATGTATTAAGTTTTTTAATACAAAAATAATAATCATTTCTGACTACTGCAGGTCAACAAACTGTCTTTCAAAAATAACTCATGTTGCAGTAAACATGGTAGAGGAATTAAATAAAAATTCCAGCCATTTTCAAAAATCTCATGATACTCGTCTCACGTTATTTATGTACCGCAAGAATATGAGAAGCAGTAAAAATGCTGATAAATATTGACAGAATTTGCAATCTTTCAAAGACATGCCAGTATGTAATGGGTATGTGACAATTCTATTTGCGCACAGACACGTGTAAACTTGTGTACAAAGTGTACCCATGTGATGTGCTCTAACGTTACTCTCATGAATAGCGCCCTCAACATATCTCGCACTAAGCCATCTCAGACCATTGAAAAGACCACTTGAGGTGAGGGCGACACAAAGATGCGAAAAAAGTCTTAGATAAAAGACGCAAGAAATTTAAACAACAAGAAAACCTAATTTAAATAAGCCACTTTCTTTTAGCATGCATATTTCATAAAACAAATGAAATCTTAAGTTTCAACTTACCGAACCGATCCTTCAGATGTCCGCGGTACAGACAAGACAATCTCAATGGCGTTCTGTGACTGCTGCTGCTTGAGTATAGCCATATTCTTAGTGGCTTCCATTTCGCTCTTGGGTGCGTTGACCGTTGCTGCCCCCAGGTAGATGATGTGCGAGAAGAGAGTACAGATCTTATCCATGGGGACCACGCCCACGTGAGATGGGCTCAAACGGTCTGCGTTTGGAAGAAATTGGTTACCAGGAGTTAATCGGGAGTGATGTGGAAGGGGCAAAGCACTCAACTGGTATTCACAGCTGTTTAAGAGTGAACTAGTTATTAACCCTCCTGCTATCTGAACAGTCACAGACAGCCAACGAATCAATCCTCTCCCTGCCATGCCTTTTACACAGGCTAGTCAAAACAGTCATATCATATTTAAAGCAAGCACCGTGACTAGTCAAATTCAGTCAACAGACAAAATCAGGCAAGTGGTAGGCACAGCTGGCTTAACAATCACCTACAATCAAAGCATAGCTGTATTGAGTTATATAAACAGTCACAGCCAGTCAATCCTGCTTTATGAAGGCAGGGAGCTCTTAATTGTTGAAAACAGTCACTTGATTGATTTTGATTGAAAGGACAACTTGGCACAGAATGTACATGTATGTTTGCATAGGAAGGTTATTTGAAGTACTTTGAGCCAAGTTTTCTCATAACAGTTGTTTCTAAGTACATCTATACATTTTACATGTGTCGCTATGAAATATTATCAAAAGTTAGTCTGAGAACTGCCCTAATTTATTTTACATGCACAAGTCATTGCATGGATATGTGGGTAACCATGTTAGCTTTTATCACAGTGAGTTTGGCTGCAGCATGAATGACATAAGTGATGTTTACTAATTAATTACAATCATCAATCATGCATTACATGTATGTAGCTATACATAAACACTCATAACAGTTGGTTAATGACTGGTTAATAAAACCTTGAAGTTATTATTCAAATGTGATTTAGTACGTTCGTTGAGAATTAATTAAAATGAACATCCACAAGTTTCTTTAACCCTAACCTTCATAAGTCCTCCAAAATACTGTTTGCAAAATGAAGGGATTTGCAGGATTGAGGCTACATGTATATGGCAAATGTTTGTTGCTGATTTCGGAGGATGCACTGTGTCAAGGTCTTGGGCCGGACCTTGTGTTGTTTATGCTCAGTCGTGCATAAATTTAGGCCTAGATTATACTTGAAATCCTCCGCACTGCTCCAGGATGTCACTGGCTGAGCCTCAACATATTGACAGTGATTGCTGGAGGATTTTGCAGGATTGAGTCAATGGTCACCCCTCCAAGTAGCCCCACTAGTGTGGCCGTCGGTATGCTGCGCTGAACCTCTGGCCACACACCGTGGTACCGCGCGCTACTGAGGACGAAGTTTTTCATAAAATTCAGGGCAGTTTCTTACATTTTCAGTTTCTTACTTTCTTATGGTTGTATTCTATGATGTCTCACCTATCACTTCTGGGATGCTTAGCATGTGCTTAGGTCTAATGATGTTCCATTTTCCGAGATATTCTTCAATCTTTCTGGAGTCCATATGCACTCGTGAAACGTCTGGTGATGGCAGCCATTTTTAATGGGACAAGAGATGACCTCAAGCTGTGACGTCGCGTGTATGCAAATTGCTTGTGGAGCGCGCGAGGGCGCGAATTGCAAATGCAACGGCTGTTTCCTGTGCCGTAGATCCTGAATAGAGATCGGTGCACGTGGCCCCCTGACGATAAATGCATGGTACAGGAAACAGCCGTCGCATTTGCAACTCGCGCCCCCCCGCGCTCGACAAGCGATTTGCATAAACGCGACGTCACAGCTTGAGGTCATCTCTTGTCACATTCAAAATGGCTGCCACCACCAGACGTTTCACGAGTGCATATGGGCTCCAGAAAGATTGAAGAATATCTCGGAAAATGGAACATCATTAGACCTAAGCATCCCAGAAGTGATAGGTGAGACATCATAGAATACAACCATAAGAAAGTAAGAAACTGAGAATGTAAGAAACTGCCCTGAATTTTATGAAAACTTCGTCCTCAGTAGCGCGCGGTACCACGGTGTGTGGCCAGAGGTTCAGCGCAGCATACCGACGGCCACACTAGTGGGGCTACCCTCCAAGGACCACATTCAAGAAACAAGTGAGGATTTTGCAGGATAGGGGTTACAATTACATCCTAGCAAAAATGCCTGGGGAGTTAGGGTTAATTCAAATGATATATTAGAACATCTTTGACTGAACATATGGTATTAAGAATTAATATACAGATGACACCATACCATTGACCAAGATGAGAGTTTTAGTGCTTGATGTGGCTTCCCGGTTTAGCTACACAAGATGCACCGTCCGCATTCACCAAAGAAAACAAAAACTTACTTTGGTCATCAGAGCTTGACCTCCGCTCCCAGGGGTCAAGCCCGCCCTCAATCATCGCCTTGTCCCCGGATGACCCTTGATCCCTAACCTTTGACCTGCCCACATGACCTGACAGAATCCGCTCACCGAAATCGTCTTTCGTCATCGCCTGGTAGCTTGTGGTTGGACTTCCCCCGCCTAGTAGATGAGAAGGGTTGTCAGCTGTGTAGATACCCTGGCTGTGAACTGGCTCGCTAATGCTCCGTCCTCGGAATTTGTCACTGTTGGTCGGGGTCTCCCAGCCGCTGCTGGCCTCACTGCCACCAGCAGAGGGCGCTTTGGGACCGTCCGACTGATCCCCACCCAGAACTTCATCCAAGTGTTGCTTGAGGTCGTCCATGTTCCCGTTGCCGATGATCTTGAGACCTGTGCTCTCTGCTGACGTGGTAGAGATGTTATCTTGAGCTGGCTCGGACGCTTTCTCAGAGTTTGGTGTGACGACCACAAACTCGTCTGTCACTGAGAGAGAATCAGCCGAACTGCGGCTGACTTTGTCATCCATTGCGCGATGGCTGTTTCCTCTGTAAACATTGACAGCTGCTAATTTATAGAGCTAAAATTCAACTTGCAGCAGCTGACTGATTAGTCGCATTCTGTCCAAATTGTGGCCGAACCTGTGAAATGTCAAAAATGTTATTTATTTATTGTCAGTGTCACAAAACACTGACTGTGATTGTGAAATAGTAAGTGTCATTATTTGCATTGAGTTTGCAAGCACCAATCCTTATTGCTACATGCATTAGTCCAAACTGGAGGGGGGAAAAGCACCTGAAACATGCTTAAACATTTCGCAGTGGCTATTGTTACGGCAGCCGTAACGCATTTCCCATTTTCTATCGTTACGGTAGACTGCAACCTGGCAACTTTTATAAAAAAACATGACAAGAAAATATAAAATTAGAAGGAAAAAAGTGAATTTGAACTTTATGAAATTCGGACTTTATTTCCCTTTTAAAAAAAATCCTCCAAAGCCTCAGGTTAGAAAAGGAAAAAAATTCGAGTGCAAAACTGAGATTCGAACCCGCAACCTCGCGGTGCAAAATCCTACCCTCTATCGGCTGAGCTGGCGCACTGCTCGATAAACGTGGGGAAACAAATAATTATATACCCGCGTGCGTATCAAAAAAATATCGTAGAGGGCGCTAAACAACGAGTGCCGTAACGATAGCCACTTCGTAAACATTTTAAATTATTTACTTGTTTATTTTTAAATATACAGCAAACTAGGCCTATACTATGTACAATTTTAATACGAATTACAATTGAGCTGAGCATCTTGAGTATGTCTTTCATTATTTCATAACCATGATAACTGTTATTTTTATGATTAATATATTATTAATAATATATATATATTAATATATTATTATTATTATTATTATTATAGAGAACACGAAATCCACCATGTCAAATGCAGACAGGAAAGTTGAGAAAGATATGAATAGATCATGATTCATGGATGCTCAATGTGAGTACATTTTGACAACAAACACCTGGAGTGGAGGCTGGACACATGCAATCAACCATTTTTATTTTGTCAACAATCAATGAATATAGGATTAGGAGCTGCGCTGCACAGACTCATCGTTCGGGAGTGATCAATAAAACTTCACTGTTTTTACCTCCAAAGTGTCACAAATATTACTTTATACTCACTCAATAAACTGGCTTTATGACTTGACACACTTAAACGACCTTTTTAAAGCAAAGAAAGCCAACGATACTGGGGAATTTAGGCCTCTTTCAAGGTGACTTGTGCGCTAAACTGCACACAAAATGGTCTCAGTTGAAAATTGTTTCACGCATGCGTCAACTTCTTTTTAAGGCTGTTGCAGTTCCAGAGGGAATATATTGTTACTTTTTTGGATTATTTCTCACAAACTCAATTTGGAACAAGAATTTCAATTATGGTTTGCAAAATTTAAAATTGAACCAAATTTCAACAGCACAAAGTAAGTTAAAAACAGGAAAAAAGAGTTGAGTGGAACAATAAATATCTCTGGACTAAAAATGGCAAGTTTTGTGAAATTAAAACAACCAACCAACACTTGGTGGCGCTCTTTCAATATGTCAGCCTCCTCAACCAACATGAACAGTTCGTCTGCCACAGGTAAAAGGGCTCATTTGTCTTTAAATTTTACATTTCTGGTAACGAAATATATTTCATTTAATATCCAGCGCATCTGCCAACATGATATTGTAAGTAGATTTATCCTGATTATCATTTTTGAGTAGTTATGTTGGAAAAAGAAGTGCAACTTTGCTGGTTATGTACAAAATCTATGGGATTCGGGAGCGCTTCAACTTCAGTTCAAGTTCCACTTTTAATAGTCTTTAGACAGTCTTGAACGGTTTATACCCGAAAGTGACCTGATTAACTCTGAACGGAAAAAATTCCGTACTCGGACGTAGTCCGAGTAACTTGGACCCAACTTATCGCCTTTTTAAAAATTTGGACATGGTCTGGCGATAGTAGGGTCCAAGCCCATTCCGAGACCTAGACAACACAGTCACTGACAGTCCCAAAAACCAACATTTTCCAACAAAAAACATCAGATTTCACCTTCAAAACGGCCTCCAAATTACTAGGTATGCCACCTGAGGTACAAGTAGACATCGATAATTAAGATAGTTGTACTGAAGTTTACTTACGATCCGGAAAAAAGTGAAATTTTCCGTTCATTTCGGAGAGCTCCCCTCGCGATCTTGAACACGTTAAATTTGCGATCGTGTTTAAAGTTTGAACGACGCGATTTCTTCTACATGCCCAGCGTACATTCGATGGTCCCCGTATCCCGTATGCGATTCCGTTACCGAGCGCGCGCGATGCATCGATTATGATAATGATCACGTTTGTAAACACATACATGTGCATTTCGAACTGTAAAAGGGAATCGGGAACCAGCTTGAACTGGTACCCGCTATAAAAGCTGCGCTAGTTCCCGACTCCCTATTATCGTTTGAAATGCACATGTGTTTACAAACGTGATCCAGTCTACTCATTATCATAATCGATGCATCGCGCGCGCTCGGTAACGGAATCGCACTCGGGATACGGGGACCATCGAATGTACGCTGGGCATGTAGAAGAAATCGCGTCGTTCAAACTTTAAACACGATCGCAAATTTAACGTGTTCAAGATCGCGAGGGGAGCTCTCCGAAATGAACGGAAAATTTCACTTTTTTTCCGGATCGTAAGTAAACTTCAGTACAACCATCTTAATTATCGATGTCTACTTGTACCTCAGGTGGCATATCTAGTAATTTGGAGGCCGTTTTGAAGGTGAAATCTGATGTTTTTTGTTGGAAAATGTTGGTTTTTGGGACTGTCAGTGACTGTGTTGTCTAGGTCTCGGAATGGGCTTGGACCCTACTATCGCCAGACCATGTCCAAATTTTTAAAAAGGCGATAAGTTGGGTCCAAGTTACTCGGACTAACTCGGACGTCACTTTTTTCAATTAATTTTCTAGCGCCAAAAGTTACATCTTTTATGGTTATTCCTCCACTTTCCCTCCTCTACTCTCACCCTCTCCTTTCCTTAATTTCTATTTATTAATCAGTCAGTTACTTCATCGGGATTCGAACCTCTGACGCTTGCTTGATACACGAGACTCTTAACCGCTAGGCCGCGCACGATCGCTGTTGCAATAATCAATCTTTGGACGTATTTGAAGTATCCATTGAAATAAACTAAATATTCATGAGAAAATAAATATTCATAATGACGTATTGCACTATCATTGGCAGGCTCATGCGACGTCATGGTTGTTGATGTCACGTGTATAACGTACCGCTGTCTTTCAGCCACTACAATCAGTTTTGACCGGCTGCTTCAAGTTAGTTCTGCACGACGTATGCATCCAAAATGTGCTCTAAAAACACATTTTGAGTAAATTTTTTTCACCTTAACACAGCTTCCTGGATTTCTCTTGGTTCAAATGACAAGGTGAGGTGACAATTAATATGTTTGGCAGCAGATAAATTGACGTCCGAGTATGGATCTTTTCCCCTCTGAACCACTACCAGTATTTTTAAGAAAAGGAAGAATGCTGCATCCTGACATGCCTGACGCTCCTTTTTTCATGTCAATGGAGGTCAGTCATTGCAAAAATGTTGAACTTGAAAAGACAATGAATCTGGGACTGAGAAACATTTCCAATTTTGTTAGAAAATACTATGACATTCTTCTTGACTCTCCATAGAGTTTGTAAACAACCAACGAAGTGGCATCTGGATGCTACATTCTTTCCCTGAAGTTGTAACTTAGCGTCGTGTAAAGTTGTGTCCATTTGTTTCTCTTTCACTCCCAGATGAAGCTGGCAACATCTTCAAGTTCAAGGATGGCTACCTGAAGGTCACTCCTGATATAGTCCATGACTATCCGGCAAGCTTGCGAGACAGCGGGACTCCAATTATAATCGATAATGGTTACTGATAACAACCCAAGTTTTTGTTACTCAGCTGAAGCCGAAAATATCGCTTCATAATTTTGTTAATTTTTTTTTTTTCATTTAAATAAGAAAAGTCTCCATATTGAAACAAGGTTTGCAAAAAAATAGCAAACACACTTCAACAGACCTAGAAATGCATATTATCTCAATATAGTCAGTTTACAGAAAACAATTGTGACATTTCTTTGTAACATTCTTGCAGCAAAAGCGTCAGTCTCACACAAATGACCTACATGTATGCTTTCAACGTTTTTAATTTATGTTACTCCCTTCCCACCGCAGGGTCTTGTTTCAGCCGAGTGGGCTGGGCTAGCGACCCCACCCCCAGGCTCGTCTTCCGAAACATCATCGCTCGTCAGCGCGGCAAGAAAGACTACGAGTCACAAATCGGCAACGATATTCCCAACATTGAAGCAGTACGCTGGCTGCTCAAGACGCAGTTTGACCGCAATGTTCTGACTCATTACGATGCTCAGGAGCTAGTCTTTGATCACATCTTCAGCCGGCTGGGTCTGGACACTGAGGGCGCTGTCCAACATCCACTAGTGCTGACGGAGACACTGTGTAACCCCAACTACTGCAGGCAATGTGAGTTTTAAATAGATCCATTTCTATGAAGTTTTTCCACTTAAAAATGATCAAAGGTAGAATTGTAGACAATGTTTTCTCTTCAAACTTAACTTGGCAAATCTGATTCTCTTTGGTTTTCATTGCATATTTTGTTGTCTTCTTTACAAAAAAAATTCTTCTCCAGTGATGTCAGAGCTGCTCTTTGAGTGTTATCACGTTCCCAAGGTTGCCTTTGGTGTTGACGGCCTCTTCAGTTTCTACAACAACTTTCCTGATGCTGGTAATTTGATTACTTCATTTGAAACAAAACAAGATTCACAAAACTTCACAACCAAAATGCCAAGGAAGAGTTGAGACCAATAAGTTTAATGCGGTGTTTCTTTTTAGAAGCTTCACAAAAGTTCAAAGTTCACAGGAAAAATGTCCGTCGATTGAAAGGATTAGAACATTAAGATCTCAGCCTTTCTAAAGTCATGAACATTTCTGTCCGCCATCATTTTGCATGCAGTCTCTGCATGATGTTCAGGGATTTTTTTTACTCAGGAACATCTGATGGTCTAGTTCTGGCCTCCGGCTACCAGACTACCCACATCCTTCCCATACTGCAAGGCAAGCTAGACAGCACACATTGTAAGCGCATCAACATCGGCGGTGCACACGCGGTGGCCTTAATGCACAAGCTTCTGCAGCTCAAATATCCGGCTCACTTTGCTGCCGTCAATTTGAGCAGAGCGGAGGTAAGCGACATCTTGATGTCGAGGAAAATAAATAGATTATTGTTGTTGTGATCCTAGTTCAGGGGGAAACAAAACTGGAAAGGGCATCTGCTTTGAATAGACTTTGTGACAGTGAATGTGTGCCCACATGATGAGTATACATCAATACATCACCATGTATAAGTCTCGGAACTCTAAATTGAATTTTGATCCAAATTTAGGAATTGGTGAATGAGCATACCAACGTGTCGTTGGACTTCAACGAAGAGCTGGCTGATTGGCGATCAACGGCATACTGTGAGCAACACATGCATCGCATACAGCTTCCATACACACCGGTAAGTGTTTCCACTCTGTCTATAAAGTAAGCTCTCAAGGACACCAATGCAGAGAGAGTCCATTTTTTATTGTTTGGTCTTGGGTTTTTTTTCGACAGCTGCCCGGCTGGTCGTCAGATGACAAGAAACAAGACAGGAAACAGCAGCAGATCAAACGGTTGCAGGAGATCAACGCCAAGAGAAGAGAGGAACGGGTGAGATATGTGGATGGTGTGTTACTCAGTGTCCAAATTTAATCAAAATGATTCATTGGTTGGCTATTTGGTTAATCTGTTATGTACCTTGGGCTTGTACAAAAGCGGCTGAGTTTGAATCAATTTGACTGGGACTGTAGTCAGATTTTATCATGATTGTGGAACGCATCTGTACAATGCCATATGGATTCCTACTGAATACTAGTGATGCAACCAGCATGGTAGGATGGTAGAAATTGTCAACAAGACTTGTCTAAGCATCAGAAACTTGCTCTGTTGTGCCTCAGTGATGTGGTCAGTTATCAACTCTTTGTACAAATTGTCTTTTTAGCTAGCCGCAGAGGAAGACAGGTTACAGCAGCTGAGGAGCGTTCAGGAGTTGCTGGAAGATGAAGATGACGAAGGATACCAGGTGAATAATGATTGTGGCCCAACTCGCTTAAAAAGTTGGCCTGATTGCTGCACGGTGGGCAGGCCTAAAAGATAGTTGGCCAATTTGCAACTGATTGACAGGACAAAAAGCTTATCATGAAGTGATTTTACCTTTTAAAAGCCAGGGTCTTTTCCACACCGGGATTTTGTTGTTTATCTTTTACTCAGCCCACTGTAACATTATATGGTTAATCCCTTAAGATAGTTCGCTAAAACTCACACACGTACAGGCCACATATAGTCCTCATGCTCCACTAGTTGAGTGATGGCTTGCTGACTGACAAAGTGATTAGTTTGTCTGCATAACACTTTACTGGCTTAGTGGAGTTATGAGAAAGCATAGTTGGTGTAATTAATTGGAAAGTCATGAAGATATTGCAAACAAATCTTTCAGACAGCTCTGAGGGAGCTTGGCTACTACTCGGGGGCGGAGCTTCAGTCCATGATTGACAAGCTGATAGAATCCATTCAGAAGATCAAGGACAAGATACAAGGGGTGGAGTCTCAACCAACCAGCCAATCACAGGCCGATGCTTCTCAGACTGACCAATCACAGAAGGAGGGAACTCAGAGAAAGGTTGGCGTAGAATGGGTGGAGTTATAAAACTAAAATATGCATTATGCACGCTCTGTTGTTTATTATTCATACACATCCAATTGTTATGTGTCTCATTTTGTATAAAATGAATTTATTATGTCTTTTGATAACTAATGGTTTGAATATCCTTGACGATCAAAAAGAAATGGACAATGTGTAAAGGTAGTAAGCGCATTAATATTTCCTTGTTGCCATGGTACTTTACTTTGTTTCTATGGTAACTTGACAGAGCCCTGATGCTGATGCGATGGACAGTGATCTGGATCTACTGCTGAGAGACGTGGACCCAGACTATGACAGGTAGAAACAGGGGCACCAGACTGTGCTATCCAAATTATACCAATGCATATGCATCACCGTTGAAATCCTTGTTCTTAAACTATACTTCTTAACTTGGGTAAATTTCACAGATATGCCAAGCATAGACTTTACCTATGTTCGCTCTTCTTTTTTTCTAGTAAGCAAACCAGCCCACAGCCTGCCGCAAGAATGACCTTTGACCTAGCGGAGTACTATCAGCTACAGCTTGGGGTAGAGCGGATACGCGTTCCAGAGATCATATTCCAACCATCGATAATTGGTCACGATCAGGCCGGAATGGCCGAGACATTGGAGCATGTGCTGAGGGGGTACGATAGCAAGACGCAGGATAGATTAGTACAGGTAAGGGGAGGGGCAGGGCTTGAGACGTAGGCGGAGCTTGGAGGGAGGGGGTGTGTCTAGACATGGGCAGGGGGTGTGGCTTAAGCATTAATCATCAACAATAACCAAGTAGCAAAGACCTTGATATGTGGAGTGAATAGGCCTGTAAGTTGCTTTAAAATAAAGGGAGAGGCGGGACTTGAGGGAAGGGGCGTGTCAAGATAAGGGTGGGGGGTGTGGCTAAAACGTCAGTAATCAGCAACAACCTTCATATGTGGACTGAGGAGTTACAAATATACTCAAGGATAGAATAATGCATTTGAAGGGGTGGGTCGAAAGAAGTGGGCATGTGTTCTTATGAATATAAGTCGTCGGCAATTTGTTTCCTTCAATTTTTGATATTTGTTTTTGTCCCACCAGAGGGTTTTCTTGACTGGAGGTAATATGATGTACCCAGGTATGAAGCAGAGAATTGAAGCAGAGCTGCTGGCCATGAGACCCTTCCAGTCTCCATTCCAAGTATTCACGGCAGGTAGGCATGAATTAATGTCTCAAAACCCACTCACAACCTAAAATCCATCACAGCCTTGCGCTGTTATGAAGAGACAATTTTTGAATTAGCTGTGTATTTTCACTTACCAGGAGATCCGGTGTTAGACGCTTGGCACGGTGCCAAGCAGTGGTCCACCGATGCCACGTCAGTTAAAGATGGCTTTGTCACCAGAGAGGAATATCTGGAGAAAGGCGGGGAGTACATCAAGGAACATGTGGCATCCAATAGATACAGACCTAATCCCACAGTGGTCCGATCATGATAGGACAATAGACTCATTTGCTCTGTGCATGATGCAGCGAGGGCGCTATACACACACACCCCAAGTCAAGATGAACCCTGAACATTTCTGCACAGGATTGGTGGGCTTCTAGGGACACACGCCACACGTGGGACCTGTGGAGACAGTTGTGATTTTTTACCTCTATTGGCCGTTAAGAAACTATAGAGGGCGCAGTTTACCTGAGCACGAGCACTATTAGTGTGGCACTGTGGAGCCAAGCAATAAATAAACTTGTTGCCATTGTGTAGTTGTACTCTGGTTCTACATAATGCCTCACTGTATTGTAGATCATTTTTTCTGCTCAAAGTTCATTCATGTCAACTTCAATTCCATTTTTTTGGCACAAACTTTAGGGTAACTGTATTGAGGTATAAAACAAACTCAACAATCTACAATAAGTCTTTTGTGGATGCTATTTTATTTGAGTATTTACATAGCAACAATGTGCAGGTATTTTTTTCTGTTCCACCTTCATTTTGAAATAAAGACATTTTATTACAAAAAATTGTGTGACTCATTCTGACAAGTTTTTGAAAATGGTACTTGTTACAGTGAACATACATAGTTATAGAGATCCTCGCTCAGACAACATGCAAAGCAAATTCAACAAAATATGGTCACTGCTTTCAAATACAGAAATCTACGAATAAAACCCGGAAGTGTATAATTTGAGGTACAAGTGCGTGCTGTCAATAGTACTTAGATATGTCCGAGCAAAAAATGCAACCAAATTGTTTTGTTCTTCACAAATTAATACTCTGCTCCATTTAATTAGAGACAAATTGGAAAATGCTTACAAAAAAAAAAAAAGCTGTCATGATAATGTGTATCCTAGGCTATGTTTGGATGAGGCAGTTTTATTTTTACTTTTTACAAATATTGCAACAAAAAAATCTACAAAAATGGTGAATACTTTACAAAATGTCAACTTAAAAGAAACAAATATGGAAGAAATTCCATTTCAGCCTACTCTACATGGTAAATTTTCAAAAAGGAATAGGAAAGAAAATAAAAGATAAAATAGAGATTGTTGTAACTGAATATCAAAGCAGTTCCCCCAAAAAATAAAAGATAAAATAATAAAGATATGTTACAATGAAAATGTATGTTTATATGAATGAAGCATTTCATAACGTCAACACTTAATTGTTACCGTTACCAAAAGATTTGGCTTCGTCCACAAATTAGCATTGAACTGAAAGCGTTACATGCCCTCCAAATGTTTTCATTGGGCATTCCGTAATCCAATGTACATCCGACAACATGATGTACATGAACAAGGTTGATAAGGGTAGTGATACCTTTGGTCTGTATTGAAGGGTTTCAGTGCACTTTTAGGACCAACAGTAATTTCCAAGTTGATAATTGGCACTCTGAAGAAATTTGCAGTGATAGCCTGAGAACTGTTACAACACATGCTGGCAAGTACACGTACATATTCAATGCAATTAAGTAATATTCCTGAATCAATTAATATAATTACAAAAAGAACAATAACTATTATATATAATCCTTCAATTCTTGTCTATAACTCAAATATACTATGTCTACACATGCAGTTTAAACTAAATGTCTACTGACTTGGTCACATTTTGGGAATTAGGGTGTTTTAGACACCATGCGCCTAGGGAGAGAGGCTGATTTTGTTTTCCTCTAAAGAAATAGACATACATGTAAACCCAATGCTTAACTGGCACATTTTCATTCACTCAAACATTTTGAAACTACATTTTAACATCAATTCCACACTAATTTTTTTCACAACTCGTCCATTTTTTTTTCAATGTGCTCTTGCACAAACACTGTTCTAATCACGAAAGTACATTTTGTAATTTGAAGACAAAACACTGAGTATAATTCCTCCTTTTCAGTTTCGAAAAATAAAATTTGTTGTCCAATCACACTGGAAGCCCCAAACTGCCATTATTTTGAAGATACTGAACAACAAGCTAGATTTGTTCCAATAAATGGAAAATGATTACACATTACATACTCGTAGAATCGCTACAAAGTAAATACAAGCATTGAAGCACAGTATTCTAGCATTTTACTTACAGATGCTACAATTTCCAACACGTTTAGCACCATTTTTTTTCATACAAAAAGTGACTTGTGTCCAGCTTAAAGTGACCACACACAGTGAATTTGCGGAGCTGCCAAAGTGGCGTGGTCTTATTTTCTGCGTATCCTGGCTAGTTATTATCCAGCCACCAAGTGGCGTATCGTGTGGATATCTTCATGGAAGATCCATGCACGTGACGCAAACAGCACATGGTGCATGCAATCAATGTGAGATGGCACAGCGACTAGGCATGACTGTTCATGACGACATCCTCGATTATAAAAATATCACTGTCATTGATCATGATGCACACATTGCTTACCATACAAGCCTCTTTGCAGCTCTGAGGTTCAACGTGATTGGTGAAGACACAACATCATGAATATTCATTGACTTAAGGCAACAACTTGTCCAAAACCCCAACAAAAGCAACTCCTATTTGTTTTTCCCTCCCATATTTAAAGACCACAGTGGACAGTGACAAAGTGCAGATTCCCTGAGCAATAATAAATTCTCTACAAATCGTCCGACCACTGGGTGACTTCCTAATGAATCTCAACCAATCAGAGAACCCAGCAATTTCTAAAGTCCAAAGCGATTGGCTCACTGCCCTTTGAGCAAACTATATATTGACCAATCATAAATTTATATTCAAATTCCAGGCAGCTGATTGGTTTGTACCTCTAGGCACTACTTGATATTAACCAATCATTGGACTGCATACATACTTTCATGGATACTGACTGGCCAATCACCACTTCGAATGCCTGCCACATGTATCAACCAATATTAGGAAAACCTATTTTACATCATTCAAGCTTTTTCAGTAACGAATCCTTCTTGGAACTTCCTCAACAATTAAAGTATATAAAATAATTTCCAACTCTACTGTTTCTTTCATAACTTGCCAACAAAACACATGAAACTATTGTCAACCTTGTACTTTTCATAAGTATCCTGAAACCATCGAAATAAGTTCATGAAATGCTACTTCTTTACATTATTCGCCAGAAGAAACCTTTCTTAGTCGTAATCACTCTTTCTGAATTTAACAACTTGTCAATTCTCAAATCCAAGATAACTTTTGTAAGTTGTAACGGCACATCTTATTGGCCCGTCTGCTAAAAGGAAATCATAAGTACCAATGTCTTTCATTGGTCAGTTCATCGTATAGGACAAAGAGTACAAAAGTCAACAGAGACAGTATATTTCTTAAACTCTGACAATCTTACATTGGATTTTTTAAACCCGAGAGATTCTCCCTTGAGATTTTCAGCACTTATACTCCAATAAGGAAGACCAAACAAAATAGCCCACTAAAATCTTCTTGAAACTACTTCAAATATCCCAGTCTTTGATTGGTCAATCCACTGCCAACGAAAACCAAATTTATGTAACAAAAGCCATGATTGGTCACTTTGCTCAAGCCAAAACACACTACCAAAACTTTCATCCAATGAAATCTTCCCTCTACCTTCTTCGCATAAGCCCCCATTTGTAATTGGTCAACCCATAAATCAAAGAACATGACCTGTCTTTTTCAGTGGGGCCTACCGCCTGCACCGGTTTCAGAGGGATTTCGTTGTCTGACGGGTTTGTCTACATTCAATCCTTCGTCGGGGAATGTATTGCCGTTGGTGATGTGTTTCTTGATTCCTCCGTTGAGGATATCTTTGATGTGTTGCCCAATCAGCCCAATGGCGACTAGAGAAAAAAAAGACGGAAAAGCTTCATTTATGATTTATCCTTTCCATTCTACATCTTGACAAAGCCACTAAATGGTTTTCTATGATTTGGAACAACAAGGCTTTGCCCCTACTTTGGCCATACTTTCCCCGCAGGATAGGCGTTATTTCTGCCTTGCGGCAACCATCAACTCCTAAACTAAACACACACACATATATATACACATACAGTCGTGTTTTACATAACCCTCAAGGACAATGCATTGTCTTTTCCTCTTTCCCTTTAATATAACACTGTCTCCCTTTGTCTGTCTGTCCTTGAGGTGAATGTAATTCACATAATTGTGGGGAATTGGAACTATACACTACACATTTCTTTCACATGCTTAACAGTTAGCAGAAAAGTTGTGCTTACTATAGCAGAAAATCATGCTGCTGCTTACGCACTTTTTTATTTATATTATTTTAAGCACTATTTTCACGGTGTGGATGTGCTATCAGTTGCACATGCATAGAGATTTGTATTGTTACATCACTGATTTAAGCAACTTTTTTCCTCTGGGGTTAAGCGTGCTTTTGCTGTGCTTACTGCTTAACGGTCTCTATGAAATAGATGCATGCTCGGTAAGCACAAAAATCGGCTGTTAAGTAGAGCTATGATACTGGGCTCAGATGAGCGATAGTTATTATGGGGACCGAAGACAATATGGGGAAAAGTATGGATATGTACCTGTATTTTCTGAGCCTCTTGGAATGATGATATCAGCGTATTTCTTGGTGGGTAGACAGAACTCTTCAAAAGCTGGCTTGACAAATTTGACATACTGCACTAGAATCTGCTCCAGCTCACGCCCACGGTCCTTGATGTCTCGAACAACTGCACAAAATTCATATCATTTTCATGCTATTATTTGAAATAATATTGATAGAGATATATTGAAGAAAAAAAAATTAAGTTACGCTTGATCCTGTTTAACTGTTCAATACAGTTTTCAGCATGGACTTAAAAGTCCTTGATTAAATTGAACTGAGCTGAAATGAAGCGTTTTTTTTTTAACCCAATTAAATTTCCAAGATCCCCTTTCAACCGTTACCTCTTCTAGATAGTCTGGTGTCAGCGTCTGTGTCCACGAACAGTTTCATATGGAACATGTCCCTGACTTCTTTGTTATAGAATACCAGTATACCCTCAAAGAGCACCACGTCAGCTGGGTAGATCACTGTGAACTCTTCCGCTTTCCTGAAAAAGAGAAAACAACAGTCATAACACTGTTTATCCTCGACACATTTGGTACTTACACAAAAAGATTTCTTGTTAGGGATGATGGGAATATACCTCATGGAAATGTGTCCTGTTTCTAGCTATATGAGAAAAATTAAGAGACTACAAACAATAACTGTGATAAAAAACAAACTTTTGAAATGTGTTTTTCTCTTCCTATGGCAAATTTTTGGCATTGTTCTTAGATGTTACCTTGAATTGGTTGTGAAGTCATAAGCAGGAATCTTGACTGTCTTGCCCGCAATGATGTCGTCGAGTGTCTGCTTGATCAGATCAAAATCAAAGGAAGCTGTGGATCGAAGAAAGAGAAAGATGAGATGAAGCATGCAGAGCGAAGCATGGGCAACTTGCAAATGAGGCAGCTTTTTGACTTTTAGAAATTTGCCATCGGGAGGAGAGAATTTCAAAACTATTGCAAGCTTTTTGCTCAATTTAAGCCAAGTTCACGACGAGAATTCTGTTCATGAGCATACCTGGATGGTCAAAGTTGAACTGTCCTTTGAATGCCAGAGCCTGCTCCCCATTGCTCAGATCTCGATAGAAGCTGTCTTGGCTGATGACCGCTACCTTGCGCTTCTTGCTGTCGATGTTACGCTGTCCGAGACGTTCTACTATCTTGGTACAGACGGAGGACTGCAAAATGATAAAACACAAATCACTCAATGTGCAACTGCATCACATATCTGTAGACCATTGGGTAATGGTTACGGTTTCTGACTCGTGTGCGATGGTAAAATGTTCATAGGTTCTGACCCTGATGGAAACATATTTGTGTTCTTGGGCAAGACACTTCACTACAATCGATAGAAACTGATATTACGATTCTTTCATCCAAATGCTCCCATTTTAATTGAAAAACCATCCGAGTTTGAACGAGACGTCTGGTTTTCACCATATTAGGAATCACTTTCATGCCACATAACGGTCAATCATTTCTTTTTAACTGCAAATTGTAATGAAAAAGAGAGTTTGTATATTACTGAAGAGGTTAATGATATCTCACCTGCATGTACGCTTGTACTTATTTTCTTTTTTTAACTCTTTCAACTTCCTGACTGTTTATATCCTCACATTAAAACTGGCCCACTTCCTTTTATGATACTTTTTCACTGTGCACAATGCGAAAGTTGTTAAACATGACTCCTGGTGTTTCATATTAAAGTGAAAACGTAAGAAGCGAAACTGACAATATTCAACTCTCTTTATTGCTAACTTCTTAAAGAGGACCTGTGCACAGATATGGTAAAGCGAAGGCTTCTGTGATATTCATAGCAAATTTGATGTTAAGCAGCATTTAAAAACCAGCGTAAGTATAAGTTTAACTAAATAGTCTTGGACAAAACAGTAGTCATTACTTTGTGTAGTTGTAAGAATATTGCACGTAAAATGGTCAATGCTTTATTTTTCTCTAATCTCTAGGTAGTCTCGTTACCTTTTGGGATTATTATGTTCAGAGTTCTTGCCACAGGAACATTGTCACTTTCAAACTTGTCGTACAGTGTTTCACAATTAAAAACATCCATCGTTTGCAAATCCAATCCACGAAGCGAGGTCCAACCTCGGTGGCGGCAAAACTTGTTAAAAAATGCCCCAGCAAAATGACCTATGCATGTACTGTACCGGTATGGGTGTTACTGAAATAGAGTGACCAATTTTGATGTGACACCAAGCTGAAGGTGACCTCACTATCGGTCACCCGATAATCCTGAAGATTTCGTAGAAGGCCTAGAAGCTCAAACTTAGGGCAAATAAATAATCAAGCAGCTAAACAAAAATATAGACTGTAAACAAACACCCTGCAACGTCACAACTAAAAACATTTCAACTAAAACTTAATCCCCCCAAAATGGATGGAGTGCTTTAATTTGTTTTTGAAGTGAGGTGCATGCAAACCAAATCTTGCTGAATTTTTGGAGCAAAGTACAATGTAAGTGGAATTTTTCCATTTAGAAACAGAATCCAGCTTTTGAAGGAGACAAAACAGTAAGTGAACCCAGTACAGGGAGTGAAGTACTGATTATTTAGGACACAAAATTAATAACACTTTTTAAAAAATTCCAAGAATATGACTTAACTATATATAGACCATTACTTCAAATGCTTTGATTTACAAATATATGATTTACATGTACCTATATTTTGTATGTTTTCAAACCATTTTCGGTGCCACAATTTTGTCTAAAATATACACAAGTATGATGAAACGTAAAATTTCTAATTGCTAATTGTTACACTAACAATTTTTGATTATTATAAGTCATTTGCTATACAAGTCTGTGTGCACATCCTGTATCGAATGCAATATCAACCCTCTTGAAAAAGCAGTGCTTTTTGACGGTTGTGTAGAGTCGGATTTCAAGCAGATTTCAGAGTTTGTCAAGGGAAGGAAGACCGCCATACAAAAGTCAAAAGGCCGAAGGGAAAAAAAAGCACTCTGCTAAAAATAACTCAGGTTACTGACATTCAAAAGGCGGCACTGAGGGAAAATGACACTGGCATTCATATAGATCGATTTTTCCTTCAGTCAAAATAGTGTGAAATCGTTCATAATTCTGAGCACTGGTAATCTTCAGAGCACATGTACAGTATTTGTCAGTTTACAGTACTGCTTAACTACAGATGAAAAGATGGGCAGATAATTTTTTTAAATTTTGTTTGGAAAAAGAGAAAAAATATCTCCCTAAAAAGAAAATACTATGAGTGCCTATCCCACATACACGCAAGTCTCGTTTTGTTAGCGTTCAACCAATCTCAACATTTTAAATTACAATACACGATTTAAGTTTGTCCCTTCATATGTTCACATGTTAAAAGGGTGTGCATTTGTAAAGGTCCGCATAATAATACAACCACATGGATGTGTCAATACAGCAATTCACGTGTGTACAGTCCCTGTGTGTTTTATGAGGTAAAGTCTGCAAATTTTGTGAGCATCATAAATGTGATATCTGTTTTGTTTTTCCATGTAGCCTGGTTTTCACTTTGAAAATTCCCCATTAATGGCATTCAAAACCTTTCTTTTTCATTGTCCGAGAAGTTACTCAGTTATTTGTAAAGTTGGCACGGGGTACCTGAGCCCATAATCTGGAACCGGTTCCTGACATCAGCGGTCGGGTACTCGAGTACCCGGTTCCGATGCACAGCCCTAGTTCACACCGGTTCAATTTTAAAATAAAAATATTCTAGAGAAACTGCCATGACATGTTAAAAGTGAAGCTACATACCGTGTACACATCAAGCCATACACAAAGCCCATTCGATTATCACAACTGAGCTTAAGAGTTAATATTTGATATTGACACGCTTTGTGTTGATTTGGCAAACAACAGGAAGGTTAATGGGTTCGCTTACCAAAGCCCAAAGTTTTGTTTAATAGTTTTGCTAAATTAATCAAAATTTCAAGCAGAGCACACTGTGTATGACTAAGATTGGAAACTTATCAGATCAATTTTCCGGAAGAAAACGAAAACAATTGACGCGCTTTGTGTTGATTTTGCAAAACGCAGGAAGGTTAATGGATTCGCTTACCAAAGCCCAAGGTTTTGTTTAGTTTTGCTAAATTAATCAAAATTTCAAGCAGAGCACACTGTGTATGACTAATATTGGGAAGTTATCAGATCAATTTTCCGAAAAAAAAAGAAAATGTGAAAATCACTTTAAATCTTGAAATTACACGTAGAAGATAAAGGAAACAAAACTGAAAAACAAAAATGGCTGAAAGCTCACAGATACACGTAAGTAAGCAACAGGCATGGTTCCTTTGTTTCATTATTTTGTTCCCAAAATAAAAAAAGTTATAGTTAACACACACAGACACATGCAAACGGAAAAAAATCAATAAATAAAAAAAGGGTTAACTACATCAGACAAAAATAAAACGAATACATCATCAGACTTACAATGTATTACACAAAGGAGTCACTGAGGCATAAATTAGTCTTTCGTTGCATTTCTACAGCTGTGTGAATTCACGTGAAAAATCTTTTGAAAAACTGATTTTGTTTCTTTTTGCTGGGGGACTTTCCTGACGTCGATTTCAAAATCAGGAAACAAACACATACCGGTATTTCTTTTTTCAGTGTTACTTAGTAATTATAACTGATCTGGTCTCACAACTAACAAATTTTCAATCTCTCAGCTCGTAATAAATCATGGAAGTGCATAAATAGGACATTCCTTGTAATCCATTAATTTCAGTAATTATTCACAAAAAGCAAACACCTACATGTAGCTAAGGCATGTCAGGCCAAGATACATCAGGCAGGTTTTTTTTTAGATATAATCAAACAAACACTGAACAGCTGTTGACTTAATTTGTTGTTTTAGCTTGACTCATCAGTAACACTTAACAGGGTTGCCATCAACTTTAGACAAAAATATCTCAGATATCAAAGGTCATTTGGGATAAAATAGCTGACGTGATGTTACGCGAATGCCCACTCTGCTTGTGTATTCGTGCACCGTCTCCCTGCGCGTTCATGCCTGGAGGAAGGAGTCAATGGTTCAGGCATGTCATGTGCCTTCAACGAGCATCCATGACCATAGCATTCATTGTACAAATGCCCAGTTAAAATATCAAGAACAAGACAGTTTAAAGGGAAACTGTGTCCAGGAATACGCCCAATTGGGCTACAAAACGTGTTTTGAACGAAATGATGTTAATCGGAAAGAACATTTAAAAGTAGGATATAAACATCCACACAACCATCCTTTAAAAACAGGGCGCTTTTGTATAATATTCTTGTGTTATTCGTGTGAGAACGACTTTCGGGGTCCACTTTTTGCGACCCCAAAAAGTTGGGCTGTTCGTGCTTGTTGTGATTCCAGCCGTAAGGGTTCGCCTTTTGCGGACGTGTAAGAAATCACATTTTGTGCATTGGTGATTGGTCACCGCTGTTCGGGACCACTGTGCTGTGTACGTGTGTACTACTGCTACTACGACACACACAACCCTTACAACTTGTAAGTTGTATTGTACATTGTATGAAAATGACTAGGAAACACGTATCATTCATAGTTTTCATACTCTGTCTCATATGTTTATCGTGTCCAATGTAAACAGTCTTTTTTTTCCATCTTTTCTCGGGAATGCATTAAGTTGGTTTCCTTTCAACCAGATGTTTGAAATAGGATATTATTATTCATGTTTAAAGTAAACAATCCTAAACATGAAACTCTCGGGGATTTCAGGAAGCAGTGCCTCTTTAAATAATATATTATTGTGAATAATTCTGTTGAAATTTTGTTAATAAAATTGACAAGTGTTGAGATAGAACCATGGTTGATATAAGTTATTATTAATATAACTTTATAAGTACCACTAGGCACTACTACAGGCTGATGTCATTGATTAATAATATGTTGGATAGTAAACAAGTTCCGGCACCAGTCCCCACAGTACACACAACCCATTCACCACGAGGCGGCGAACAGACCTACAAATCCAACACGTGTGGCAACGTTGCATCACATTGTCTGCCATGTGTTCTTTGTTCGCGCGCCCCCGCGCGGCCTATATGGCCGCACGTCGCACGAAGAGAGAAACACACCACCGTTTTTACGCCGCAAATTTCACCATACCGAATTCCATTCCATGTTTGAGAAAACGTAGGATTGTGATGAAAACCCTTACCTTCCCCGAGGAAGTTCCCCCGCTGACGCCGATGAGAAATGGTCTTCTAATCTGGCCATTTGATGAGGACGTTTTCCCGTTTGCTGAGTCCTGCGAACCCCGACCCGCCATGTTGCTGTATGGCCTCCATGTCGTGAAAACCGCGCAATTTGCTTTCAGCGCGGGCGCCTAAAAGCGTCCGATTGGGCGCCACGCGATAAGATTACCGCGTTAAGTAAACAAATCCCCTTTGTCAATCCGCCTATTTGGGCGGCATTTAACGGTTGAAAATGAGACCACTTATCTTGTTAGTAATTTATTGCATGCTGATGTAAGCATTTGAAAGAATTATTTTTAGAACATGATCTAACAGCAGTCTTGTGTGATGTGACTCAACAGAGAGTCAAAGCCAATTAAAATATGATTTGCTTTTATTTAGATAAAAAAATAAGCACAGCTAGCTGGCCCGAGAAAAGACCTCGATACCAACGGATCAACTCGCGACACTCGGTGTGTCGCCACTAACTTTGGGCTAGTTATCAAACCTCGAGTTCACAGTCACTGTTGTCGGTCTTGAATTGACAATGATTTAAAAACTAAATTTAAAAAGAAAAAGCGCTAGCACTCATTCAGAAATTGGAAATCCGTGCAGCCGGCGGCCGCTGACTAATGTAATGAAACTAGTAAATTGGGCGCAAAAAAATGAAATAAATATCAACACACATTTATACAGCCGTAGATAGTTCAACCAACGTCTTTGTATATTTTGTTTCCTTCTGCGGTTTGATCATAGAGCTGTATGATACAGCTCTATGGGTTTGATACATTTCTCATTCATAAAAACGACTACACCTCTAAGTTGCATATATTTCCGGACCATAATAATAATAATAATATTTTATTCGGCAAATTGACAAAAATACATACAATTTCAATAAATATATAAAATTTGATATTAAAAAAAAAGGATATATACAAACAATAATTAGAAACGTAGTAAACACTACACACGAAAGACAGAACGTGGACAGTGCAGGGCTGCCAAGGAGAAGAACAAAAGTGAAACAAAATGCTGTCGCCAATAGGGCGTGTCTCTCCAACCCTGCACAATGACAGACACATAATACAAACCAATGAAACCAAGCACAAAACAATTAAAACTACCAAAATTGCACAAGGGAGGAAATGTCCAAGGGAGTATAATATGGGATTCAAAAATGGGCAGGGCAGATGAGGCTAAGTAAAGGAAGTGACAATTGACAATGGTACGTGCGCGTACACGGATTTTTTTTATTCCCCCCCCCCAATAAAAAATAAATTGTTTTTGTTTTTCCTTGCCCCCACCCACAATCCCCCCCCCCCCCCCCGTACGCGTGTTTTGATAATATTGCCCGACATTCATTTCCCGCGCAAAACAGATCAGCGCAAGTGCGCCATGTGATTTGTACTTTGAATAAATATTCATAAATACCTCAGACAGTTTAGCTATTCCTATTGGTCGAGAGCCCGTCACGTGGCCGGTATTAAACGGATGATAAAGACATGGATAGCTGGTCTTAAACACTTTTCCAGTGTCACAATAAAATGTGGACTCCTAAAAATCCAGTTCCTCTTACCGTTTCATTGGTTGAACGTTCACAATCCTCACGTAGGCATGCGCAACACTACAAGCGAGTCAGAATTTTATAGTTCTAAACTCAAAACGCAACGCCCCAGGTGCGTTCTGCGTGACATCGCGCAGAACATGTTACGCGCGCGTCAATCTCCATAAAAGGGTTGTTTACATCTTACTCGCCAGCTGAACACTCCATTATTTTGCTAGAGGGATGTTTCAAAAAGCATGAAGTGAACTTGTTGAACAAAATCGGGATTTTTTGAACGAATTATTTGAAATTTTTTTACGGATAAGGCATTTATGAATGGGAATAAATATGTGCTCGGTCGGTATTTATCACTCGTTTAATACCGCTTAGAGTCTGGGTGCTGATAATTACCCTCGCCTCCGGCTCGGGTAATTATCAGCACCCAGACTCTAAGCGGTATTAAACGAGTGATAAAAACCTCCGGAGCACACATTTATTCCCTTATTAGTTAACCTAAAAGGGTCTTAAACGATTTCACGCATTCGTGAATTAGACTTGAATGTAGTCGTTTGATTATTCGACAATCATGATCGATCAAATGCATTGAGTTCAACAGCTAGCCATCGATGGTGGCGCACGTCATCGTCATCAGCTAGCTAGTTGAGTTGCAAAAATTATTTCTCGTGCGTGCTAAATCTGATGATGATTGCTGGTATTATTAAAATTTGTCGATAAAAACCAGAAGTGTGACCAGAATTGACGAGATATGTGCCTTTTTTATTTCTATACTCTAGTCATGCGCTGACGGATGAGGGAAATTGTTGTTGAAATTCGTTGTTGATGGTTGAGAAGTGGACGAATTATTTTCAGCGGGGTTGCTGCGCGCAGGATATAGGAACCCTAGGGAGCTGGAGCGCGGCCAGCGCCAGCCAGCCAGAGGCAGAGGTAGGCGGAAATGGAAGAGCCGATACCGGATTATGGTGACGATTTATTTGTAGAAGACGGTGAGTAATATGACTAATATGAGATGTAGTTGTACATTTTGTGTACCTGACTTGTTGCTGAATACCTGTTGATGGCTTGATAAGAACATAAATTGAAGTTTAGATTTACTGCCACTGCCAAATCGCCTTTTTCCGTCCAGAAATTGATGATGAAATTCAAATTGAACTTAATGAATGCTGCTTGTTGCAGCTGATTATATTGTGACGCAGGTTTAAGTTACCTGTTTAAAAATTACATGCAGGCCCACATGTCAATAATCTCAGCCCACGTGCTAAAGAAATATAATCAAATCAACTACCTCGAGCTTAGCTGCATTTTATGTACATGTACGTCTGCATTTCAGCAAGGCATAAAATGATTAACAAAGTAATATTATTTTTACCATATGTCTCTAGACTAGAGAACTATTTATGTTTGCATATAATTAAAGTATAATAAGTAGGCCACTGTGGGCTGTATTACATGTATTTAATTCATAAAACCAATACAGGCGATTCACAATAGTGCGCCTCCAAGAGTTTGCAACGCGTTGGCCAATCACAATGCGCGAAATCAGTCGACCTTTTCCAAACGCGCATTGGGTCGACTGATTTCGCGCATTGTGATTGGCCAACGCGTTGCAAACTCTTGGAGGCGCACTATTGTGAATCGCCCGTATTCCACACAGTACACACTACTTTATTGATAAATGAATTGACTAGAAATATGAAATTGCTTGGAATGAACTGTTCCTTTTGAACAGTGTTGATTTGTAAATTGTAATTTTGCAGGGTATCCCTTTCTGTCTGGTAAAACTTTGACAAAAGTTCTGATGAAACGAGCAACAAGTACAGCTGATGATGGTATTGTACTATGTGCTCCATGAACCTTAGAAGCATCTGAAGTTTCTGAACTTCTGAAACATCTTTTAAAAAATGTTATGCCTGAAAATGAATTTAAAAAAAAATTGATGCAGCCTCAAAAAAAGGAAGCGGGCGGGGATGATCAACTGATTGTTTTTTTTAATTTTTTTTATTTAGCCTTACATTCATATTCAATGAAATCTTCAAATGTTAATGTATTCAGCGATAGGATTTCATACACAGAAGTTTAATTTCAATAAATTTACACTTGAAACTAGAAGAGGATATCAACGTTTTGATTTCATGCATGTATTCCCGGAAATTCCAGTCTGCATGAAACATAAGCTCATATAGGCCTATCTGTATTCATCGTGATATGATCTTCGTTTAATATTGAATAAAGTTTCCTCAATATTTTGTGCATATGTTTATTTGTTAGCCTGCACACATGATTATGCTTGAAAATTTAGCGGTTGAATGCACTGGTGATCCACATCGATTATAAAAATGACTGTGCCAATGTTTGTATACATCTATATGTAATTCCAAAAGTACAGAATTTTACATGTGTTATGTAAAGCACACAATATGTTATGTAGGCCTATATGTACTGTGTTCAGGATTTTCCTTTTCACTATGTTAAGCTTTCAGTTCATATGCGCATTGTGTGTTCACTTTGAAAAGGGCATAATTATAAGAGGCTTTTTAACAATGTAGAGAAGGGGGAGGGTTGTGTTGAGGGTTACATCACATTCCAGGAATTCCAGATTTATAATAGCGCTTCATTTAAATGACAATGTGTCTGATGGAGCGAATTAGCCATAGCTTCTGTACAGTGCAGTGCAAGGGACCGTGGGATACATGCGAGGGGACATGTACATGTACAAATTGTACCTGTACGTTTTTCAGATCACCGTGTTCTGCAAATTGTGGTTTAGTTTGTGGACAGTCGGCCAAGCATTGGGAGAGCATAAAAAAATGGTCTTGCATTATTGAACATTTGTTAAGGAGCAATGAATGATTTCCACACTTGAACTTTTTTATGTGTGAAAAATACTCAATCCTGTAATCAAAATTATAATGGACACCTTTTTTTTTTTTTAAAGTGAACTCATTTCCTCCTGTTTTCCTGATATGTGACGGTGCTGTTTATGTGAATTTAATAGCGGTGGGAGAAATTGGAGATTTCAAAACATGGATATCCTACTTTTTTCAAACCGAATACCAACTATCCGATTTCACCGGAAGTTCCCATCCAGCTCACAGTCATGCCAACAAAAAGTGACGAGTGAGGTGCCGCATGCAATGCCCTCCCAATGACTGGGTATAGTTGGCAGGACTCAATGACCTCTGACTGGGCCTTTACAAAAACACTTTTGAAAAATGGATGGAAACTCTCTGATAAGTCAAATGGGCAGGCTATACCAAAGAGACCACTAGCCAGTAAATGGAGAACTTTACAGTCAGAGACCATCGAGCAAATTCGGGGATGTTCCAGTTGTTTTCTTTAGCCTGTGTCCCAAAAAATGGAAGACTTAAAAATAAAATTATTTTGTTTCGAATATCCAGTTGCCAAAAATCGAAACTTAAGGCCAAAAAAAAAAGTCTCCGGTTTCTGGTATGGAGCTTGCCAAAAAAGTGGTGCGGCGACGCGGCTTTTTTTTTTTTTTTACCTGATTTTTTTAGTTTCAAATGTCGGCTGATGACTGCAAATGGTGCCCGACTAAACTTAGTGCAAATGTATGGGAGTCCAGAGAGGCCACATAAAGCTTATTCTCGACCATAACCCAATCTAAAAATTTAATTTTATTCCCAGCCTTGATAACCTGTTACTAGTAATCTTCTTGTTATGAATGCTCAACTGCTCTGTGGACCAAGTAATGGATTTCTAATTTGATCTTTGTCCGACCGAGAACTCCCAGAACAAAAGAGCTTTTGTTCCAGCTGTCGATAATTTTATTATTAGGTGTGCAGACAGCCGTAACCATTGACCATAGTGCTTGGGGAATGGTATGAAATACATTGCTGAACTCATGATATGATGCCAGGGTAGTGATCTAAAGTTCGAAGAAGAAAGTACACTAAATAGGTCAATCAAAGGTAATACATGCCCGTAATTTATTTGCTGTAATTAGGTCAATAAATGCATGTGTGACTCTAGAACAATAGGACGATGACCTAAGTTAAACTGTGCAATTGCCTAATAGTAATACTATGCATACCAGTAAACCTTGAATTGAAATGTTGATACTGGGTTCTTTTGGTTCCAAATTTTATTGCAATGTGATCACTTGAGACATTTGCTTTAACTTGAAAGGAGGACCACAAAACCCAATGAAATCTAGACCTACACATGTACATGTACATTGTCATGGAAATCATGTATATGTAAACATGTACTTTTTGTCGTTTATGTGGACTTTCCTTTTTTATGTTTCACAATGCGTTCTGAATTGTGAAAATTCAGGATTAAAAAGTCAATCATTAAAACTGGGCGTCGGAGGGGATTGTTTCACATTAGCATGCAAATTGTTTATTTTAATAATATTTCAGTGACAAGTATTCTGTTAAACAGTTACCTCATTAATCTTATAAATAAAATAATCGCAACTGTACTGATCACTAGGTGAAGAGATGGTGGGGAATGTTCTAACTCTCTCTGCAAATGCTTCATACATGTACAATGAAAGTGTGCTGGTACCCTACATAATGTGTATTGTGATATTCCTGAAAAGACTTGCCAGGTCAAATATTTGCACAGCTTAGACCTCACTTTCTGTGGATATTTATACTTCCCATGGACAAAAAAAACCCAGAAAGCTTATTCAAATTTCTTTCAACATCCTTGTAATATGTATACTTGCAGAGAGTGAAGCAGAAGTGATATTTGAATCAGAAAGTGAATTCTGGAAATTAAGTAAAACATCAACTCGTTTTGGTTGAAAACTACATGTATGTTATTATAATGCATGAAAGATTGTGCAATAGTCAAGCCAGACAGACAGTCTACAAAATGTGCATGAGACGTTCTGGTGGAATTTTTTTTTTTGTCAATAAATTGGAACACCATATGTTGTGGATACTAAGTATTCGCTTTCCATTACAAATGGATCAGGTGCCCCAGACACAATGGGTTTTTTCCACATATGTAGTAGTAACAAAAATATGAGAATGCCATTTAAAGTCACTTGATATAGGCAATTTCCCATGAAAAAAATTATAAACAGGTCTTAATGAGGGATTTCTCATTCCTTTTAATACAAAAACAGGGGGGTCATGTTATAAAAAAAAATAGTGCTGTTAGGCCAACAAAAAAAATTAGTCTGTCTCTGGTCAGACCGAAGTTCCGGAATTGATGCGGCGACGCAGTTTTTTTTTTTTTTTTGGTGGCTTTTTTTTTTTTCAAGCTTGTATTGTACAGACAAGGTGGGTACTATTTTGCTTTTTTTTGTCCTCATTATACATTGGTGTCCTCCATAATTTGCCTTGGTGCCCTTTATCATTTGCCTTGGTGCAATTTCCCCATTCCTTGGTGTTCCTTGGTACAAAAATTTGAGGAGCTGTTGTAGCTTCCGTGTTAATTTGAAGAAAAAAAGGTTGACGCGCATGATTAAAATCGACGCGCGCGCTGACAAGAGACTGAGTATTTTTTGGGGGGGTCTTACTGTTAGAGCACTGGTTTAGAAAAAGGCAGTGTGTGTAGATTTTTATTTAATGAATATTTTGACTTGGATATGAACCCCTTTTCTCCAGGTGTCGCATTCAAGGCCCCCCCCCCCTCCCCCACCTACTGTACTTTTGTACCCACGTTGATTTTCTCACCTGCCAGAAAGTTTTGGAAGTGCACCCTTGTGCAGAGTGTGTTGTTATTGGGCCTGAAGTATGTGATAGTCTGGTTAAACAATTGACCCAAGCTGAGGTTCACATAAGCTCATGGAAAGCACAAGCATTATGCCCATTAACATTTAGCATTGTTACCATCTGTTGTTCAATGTTTCTTTTTCTAGAGAGACTGCTGTACACAGACGACTTGGGTCATAGTGCAAGTCCTCTTGATGACTGGGAGGCAGAAGCTGATCAAGGAGATCACATCATCCGTGTCCATGACGACGAAGAAGAAGATGATGATCACAAGGATTACCACGACAGCCACTCAGATAACTCCTCACTCCAAGATGAGGCCAGCCAAGGTGCTCGGGCACGGCCTACAGAGGGCGGTATTGCCCCACCCTTGGTAGGAGTGGAGACATGTCACGCCTTTTTCTGCTACTCTAAGGAGGATGAAGAATGGGTGGTCAACGTGATGCAGAAGTTGGAGTCGTCAGCTTACGGCTTCCGATGCTGTAATCACAGCCACGAGTTCGATCCTGGCGTCGTCCGTATGGACCGTATCGTCAACGCTCTCTGCACGGCGCGCAAGATCGTACTAGTCTTGTCTCCAGACTTTGTCCAGAGCCAGTGGTGCACCTATGAGAACTTGAAAGCACTCAGGCTTCATTTCAGGAACGTGAACAAGGTTATACCTGTGCTACTGACGGAGGTTGACCTACCGGATTTCCTGCAAGATATCCCCAACGTCAACGGAATGTCCAAGAACTTCTGGCAGAAATTCATTGCTGCTCTTCAATTTGGTAAGATTCTTAAAAACATCAGCATTTAAGAATTTGATGGAATTGTGTCACTCCAGACTTGAGTAATATCAAGCTTTTGGAAACAATTGTCTAAAGTTTTGTTGACATTATTTGGGGTAGCATTTTAATTTTCGTACTTTCTTCTAACGCTTCTATTTACAGATCCATACAAAGGAACTTTGGAAACCTCAGCCCAGTACAACATTCCTGGTAGGTAAAGAAAGAAAAAAAAAAAAAAAAGTAGACTTACATTTAAGGATCAGTGGAAATCATCTTTCTAGCAGGATGTTTAACCCTTTTGTTTGATCAGTCACAGACAGTCAAAAAGTCAATCCTGTTCCCTGCCATGCCTTTTACAAAGGTTAGTCACGAACAATCACATCATATTTCTGGTACGCACTGTGAGTGTGACAGTCAAATTCCATCAACAGACAAAAACAGGCAACTGATAGGCACAGCTGGCTTATCAATCTCCTACAGTCAAAGCATAGCTATATCAGGTTTCATAACAATCACAGCCAGTCAATCCTGCTTTATGAAGGCAGGGAGCACTCAACTTTTGAAAACAGTCACTTGATTTATTCTGACTGCTGGGCTGGCCTTGTTGAAATTGCCAGCCAGAGAGGGAGGTTAATGCTGGCAAAATGGCTTGTTCCCCACTCACTTAGGAATGATTTTCCGTTTTCATGACAGCCTTATACAACGGTGTGGAGTTGGGTCAAGTCTACTCCATGTCTGAGTGCTGTTGTAGGGCAAGATTTGACACGGTCTATTGCCCCGATGAGCTGGCCAGGAAAGGAGTTATGGTGAGTTATGATGTCCATCAATGTCTCATTTGTGTCTGTTTGCCTAGCGTCAGTGCTAAAGGAGTCTCCATATCCGAGTCTTGACTAATAAATGTACTGGAAACAACATTTTTTAAGTAAGATTGAGGCTCTGCATGGTGGAGATACTAAATAATGAAAGGTTTGCGGAAACACCATGTGCGAATAAATAAACATTTTTTAAATGCCTTATTTTCGTTTGATCCTGGTAGGTTCCACAAACCGACTACACGTCCTGCATCAATACCATCTTAGACAGTCCCAAGATGCGCTGGCACACCCTGTGGTACAATCGTGTCTTCAGTGTGACCCTCTGCATCCTCCTATCCATTCTCATCATCGTGGGCCTAGTAGGCAACCTGAGTGATTTCAGCCGTGAGGGCGCTACGCTACCCGCAGGCTGGGCGTTCCTGATTGGTCTTATTCTGTCTGTTATCGTCAGCGTCTTGGTTCATATCATCACCTACCTGGAAACAATCAAGGTGAGATGACGTCTCAAAAAAGAACTTGGAACATTCCCTGCACCAATTTGAGGATTTCTATGTCAACTTCTAACATTTGCTGAGAATAAGAACTATGCTTTTGAAGAAAATAGCTATCCAACAAAATGTTCATGTGATGTATGTTGCCTACAACAGGATCTCAGCGATATGTTGTTAAGCCTAATAATGTAGTCGCATTGCTTTTTGAATACTTCACTTGGAACACACCACATTCCTGTCAAAGCAAGCTATGACAGAGAGTAGTTCAACTCTGCATTATTCATGTTTAAAGGTAGCATGTATTTGCAAACATCAGAAAACGAAACTACCAAATTATTATGAAATACATGTACCTTACTTGACTGTAAGTGAATTATAGTCTCAAGCATCCTGTGAAATCATGGCATCTGGTGTGCTGTCATTTTCAAGAAAAGTGGAATTTTTGTATCAATTTCCAACGATGGTCGGCCGACCATCGTTGGAATTTTTTTTTTTTTTTTTTCTTCACATACTGTCCCAATTTACCAAATTTATTAAGTCTACAATCAGTTACATATCCGTGAACGGGTGCAAGCCAGCTAGTCTGGTTTCCTGACCTAACAATTCCTGACGTCTATAAATGGCTCTGTTTCGTCTGAAGTAGGGTCAGGGAGCCAGACTACAAGAAAAGCATTTTTTTTTCTTCGTTTTTCCAGCATCTATAAACACAAAACTTTTAGACAGTGTATTACTAAATAACCCTGACGCAGTAAGGAACAAACATGCTTGCTTCTTTGTGATCAGACTTCTAAGAATTTGCAAGCAGTTAAACACCACAATTTACTACAACTGTGGTTCATTGTAGTGTCAGAGAGTGTTGTAGTAAACCTAGTAGAAACATTCTCGTCATCTTGTCGTCTGTGTTTTTTATTTTTTCCACAGCTGAACACCCACATAGAGAACCATCTCGCCAAGGCTAACGTCACTCTGACCAGGCACAACGTCCTCGTGGGCATGACTGACTGCTTCTCATTCTGCTGGAACAGGGCCAGGGTATCCTTGCACTTCAATACTGCCGCCCCTTTGGCACACACTATAGAGGGCGCTCTTGCAATGACTCACAAAAGAAATTCCATCACAAATACATAAGGCTGATTAAAAGTAAAATAAAACAGTTTCTAGTCCGGGCTTTTTGGAAAAATGAAGGAGGCAGGCTTTTTATGTCTCTTTTTTTTTTAAGATGGCGAATTTTCCAAAATTGTGAATGGATTCTTCTATTTTCTCCAAAAAGGAGCCGTAACCCTTCTACAAAGCTACAATTTTGTCCAAAACAAATAAACAGACAATTTGACAATATATTTTCAAATATATTGCAAATGTATGAATTAATAAAAAAAAAAGGAGGCGGGCAGGAAAAAAAAAGAAGCGGCGGTGACAAGAAACTGGTTTATTTTTCTACGCGGCCTAACCCATAGCATGTAGATATTGTAATCAAGAATGTTGCCATGATAACAAAATGGATACTCAAGAAAAACTGCACCATACTGCAGCAGAGATTAACTCGATAGTAATTTAGTTTACTTTTTTAAAATCCATCAGGGGTGCTACTTTTTTTTTCTTCTCTTTTTCTTGTTCTCTCTCCTAACTGTATGTGCCTGTTTTTGTTTTCTTTACTGTTCTTATTGTCTGTACTTGAATTTTTACCTGTGAAATTAATAAATGAAATGAAATGAAATGAAAATAAGAATGACCTTAAACTTAAAAGGATTCCCCCAAAGAAAACAAAATCATTGCTTTTGATGACCAGCAATGGAATCGCCTCTTATTATGAACCCAAATTGTCATTTTCATTTCATTGAGGAGCGTGCATTCGATGTAAGCTTGTCCAACCACAACCATCATTGTCAATTGAGTGACTCCGTGAAAATCCCGATCTGAGTCTTTTCATCCAAAAGACATGCGTCGGCGTGCTTAATTTGATTACTTAAAATTTAATAATGGAAGCGCTGCGCTGGGGGAGTCGTCTTGACTGAATCTGTGTGATGGAATATGATTGAATTATTTCTTCTCCTTGACTTTATGCTACAGTTGCACTTTATCTACTACGACCTTCGCAAATGCAGAGTAAGTCTTGACATTATTCAATTCTTAACAGTAAAATTTACATTTCCTTTAAACATATGGTTTAAGATTTTCAAGCCTTACACAAGTGTTGCGTGCATTGCAAACATGGCAGTGCATTTTTCAACATTACTTATGGGTGCGTGATAAGTTCGAAGCCATACATCACTGTAATGAATAATGCGAATGACATTACTACGTAATCTATACTCCAGTCGCGTCTTTGCGAATATTGTGAACCACCGGCTAGGTTACATACATCTGGAAATATGAGTTGTAATAATGCCAGACATGAGAAGGCTTGTGTAATAAACCAGTTACCATTGAACCAAGCCCTACCGCACAGATCTGCTATAATGCAGATATTCAGTAAGCTTATACACTAAGCTTATATAATGTTACATATACTTCTACTTATAATAATAATAACTGTTATATCTTGTACTTGGATACTGTAATTTCATTGGTCAAGAACAGCCACGTGGGAGTCTGTAAAAAATGCATATATACACTGGGTTCCATAAGTGCTGCATATAAATTGTGTGCGTTGCATACGCGTGTGAACCTTGCCACGCACTCACAATTGGGAACTGCAACCACTCAGTCTCATGTCCAGCAGGCAAGCCTGCAGTTTTTAAAGGTTACACCCCAGTGATTTCATTTATTTCTCGCATAGTAGTTACAACCATTTATCTCTTTGACTTATTGGCACGATATAACAAAACAAGTGTTGACTGCTGTAATTTGAGATATGTTGTTTTTAATCCCCTCGGGGTGCATAATACCCTTGGTATCGCCTTGTGTGCTATGCGCCCCTCAGGTGTTCAAAGCGACATATCCCACGCCACAGCAGTCCACAATTGTTAACTGTAAAATACTTGTACTTGTTTTAGCCGAGCGACATTTTCAGTTTCCAGCTATTTTGCGGGGTTTACAGCTCCAGAAACAATGGCAGTTTCTGGTTTAATGTTGATTTCAACTATTTTGCTTTTTCTGTAGGTGAATATGTACCAGTATCTGACTGAGAAAAGGAAGTTACAAAGAGGAGTGAACAAGGTAATAGACATGATAATTATTTATTTATAGATGGTGGATGTACAAATTTGTTAAGCATGGGTAGAGTTCTGCTAAGCTGCAATGAGTAGCTATCAGATTACCCTAACAGGAAATCTTTCAAATTTAGTGTTGTTATGTTCTTTTTTCATTACTGCGAACAACAGAAACACACTCGGTTTCTTTCTCAAAGTCCTTGCCCTTGTAAAAAAAAATGGGATTTTTTTTTTCGTTTTTGTGAATTGACCAAATTCTGGTTAAGTCATTGACTCCTGGTTTCACTGCTATTCAAAAAGCAAACACTCAATTTCTTTCCTTCCCCTTACATTTGGCAGGTTGCCAAATCCTTTTCAGGTCAGGGAACCAGAGTAGCTGGCTTGCACTCATTCACAGATGTGTAACCGATTGCAAACAAAATGTGGACTAACTAAATTTGGGGCAGTATTACATAAAAAGTCAGCCGACCATTGTTGGAAATTGATTCCACTTTTCTTGAAAATGACAGCACACCAGTTGCCATGATTTATTTCACAGGATGCTTGAGACTATTATTCACTTACAGTCAAGTTTTTTAAAGGTAGTTTTCATTCTTTGTGCCCAGGATGTGACAGTGAGTTTTGACATGCAAGGCGGTGGTGACATCGATGATACCTCACGTCTGACCATTGACACCAGACATCGCATCATGTCACCAGAGACACTGACAGCCGCTACCGAACCTTCATCCATACAGGTCAGTAGCTAATGGACCCTGTGCATGACCAAACGAGGGCGCTATATCAGATAGCAGTCAGGGGAGCAATAGTGCTATTCATTGACTTTTCATTCAGGAATCAATGTGTGCATATTATTATTATTATTTCTTTCTGGTAATGAAACCAAGGATTCCTCAAAAGCGCCCTAGGCACTGTAGCTCGCAAGCCTGACGAAACCTGTAGAGAGAAGACAATGAGGAGATTACCGTTTTTAGAGGTGGGAGGAAAACCCCAGAAGAATATTATGAGGAAAACTCATGGAATCAGGTAGAGACTGAAAACCCAATCCATATATTGGCCCAGACGGGATTCAAACCTGGGTCACAGCAGTAGAACGTGAGGAAAGAACCTCTACGCCAAAGAGATTTCGCTATGAATTATGTTTCTACTTTAGCAATCAAACAAAAATTGCAGACTGAAGGAGATCCAACATGCCTGGCCCATTGGGACTGAGCACATTTTGGTTCTAAAAATATATTTAATGAGAAGCAGTCATAGACAATGTACATTGCATGACACTTCGTCTTAAAACCAATGTCTAATTTAATTAAGCTGTGAAGCAGGAAATTCTGCTTAGTTGGGTTTTTTTTGTGTGCTAAGCATGCTGCAGCCGAGAACCAGTGACAGGCAATATGCATCTCATGCAATCTTGGCTGGTTACCAATTTTTGACAAGCCAATATTTTCTGTGTTGATCAAATTCTTATGTTAAGCAGCTTTCGGAAATTAGCCTCTTTCGCTTTTGGGTACAAATTCCTTCCACAGTTGCTTGTTCATTTTTTCCGGTTTTTGGTAATTATGTACATGTGTGATTTGCCCTTCCCCCTTTTTTGCTTCCAGGAGGAGGCGGAGTTATACCTTCTCCAGTGTAGCCCAGCCTACGTTCACAGCATGATCCGAGGTCGTCTACCGAGGGCGCTACGCACCCTCCATTCTGATCATGATATGTGCCTGTGTCAATACACACAACTCAAGATATTCAAGGAAGAAGTTTGAATCGACTCATCGATGGTGATGTCCACCTTTTGTTTCCAGTACTACACGTACCTTTGAATAATTTCTCCGCCCGCCCGCCCCCCCCCCCCCCCCCCCCCCGGCCTCTAAATTTTTTTTTTATTATTATCTTGCTGTCACACTTCCACCAATTGCATTTTTTGTGACCCTGTTACATTTTAAGATGCTTTCAGTCAAAAGTAAAATCTCAGCCTTCAATTTGTTTCTATTCTTTAGTAGCGCCTTTTGACCTGTTTTCAATTAAACGCTCAATTTTAGTTTTTATGTCTTTGTAGTTTGTAGAAGTTTTAGCAAGTTGGACACTTTTTTGTTTTAATTTAGCAGTTTTGGAATTTTTGTAGACTTTTCCTTTGTGAATCCTCCAAAATCGTCCACTGAGTCCGAAACGATTTTATTTAAATGTAAGTAATTCTTCACAGTTTACAGCACTTACTGAAATGTTAGCCTTCTTTCACGTAATCCCATTTTCCATACACTTCATGTTTCTTGTATATTATGTATTATCCATTCTTTATGTACACACAAGTGCCATTAATGCATGGCAAAGATTAAGATATATTTTCCAACTGGGATTTTTACCTGGGGCAAGATTTGACTTTGACAAGTCGGACAACTGGAATTGCTTCAGATTGTGGACAGTAATTTTTAGAAATGACAGTTTTTAAAACTTTTTTAGTGATAAAATGAGTGCCTCATTTGTATTGTTCTGTGTAAATTGACGATATTGAAGTACATGGATGTATCTAGCAAAGTTGAGGAATAATATTTAGTAGATTGTTAAACAGCATACAGCAAGTTCGAGTGGGGAGCATTAGTCGACTAGTTGTTGATTTGTGACGTAACTTACGCCTGCGCACTAATAGCAACGCGCAAATGCCTCTAGTCAAACGATGGTCAAATGTCCTGGCTCCCCGCTGTGCTTTATGATGCGCACAGCTATTGGTAACCAGTGATGCAACCGTGCCACAGACTCCGGTTCCAAATAATCGACTAGAGTAGTCCAACTATCCTGCGTTCGAGCGAAGTTGGTCAAACTATGGTTAGCTATGACTGAAAAAGTTTGTTGAATTATTACATCGAAGCTTGGTAACCAGCTAAAATGCCATATGATTGTAAGTTCCTTTTGAACGGTTCCCACCATTGACTTCTGCACACCCATCAGTTACGTGCAGCACGCGATGAATTGCTTACAATTTCTCAATGAGGTCAAAACTATAACTCTATTACTTAGTTGTGTCAGACCTGTATATATGTTTGTTTGAAAAGAATCATATACCTTCGGGCATCTTGTGTTACTGTAATTCAGTAACAATGAATGCACAAAATGGTTCGCTCATGCGTATCCCAGCCAAACAAAGGCATTGCCCTCTAAGAGTGCAGCTACGCATAAGGTCTTTAGTAATTTTTGGCTGTATTTACAAAACTACACGTATGTTATAGAGCTGTATATTAGTTCATTAATGTGTTTATGTTTTAACGTTATATAGTCAAATTGTTTGATTATAATATGCGTATGATGTACAAGGCATTAGAGATTAGATGGGCAATTATTTTAATATTTTAGTAATTTTTGTTTACAATGCGCTATTTGGTGTTATGCGTACATGTTTACCTCACTGCCTTCTAGATATGTAGGATGAAATTAGTACTTGTTGGTTTGGAATAAGTTCAAACATATTTTAAAAATTTTCAAATTCAGTACAGTTCCTTATATCCAACCTTGTTTTAGATAGAGATGCCAAATCGTACTGATTAACAAAAAAAAATTAAAACTTGAACTATTGAACTACGTTGCTCATCATGTGCATATCTAATGTTCATGGGCCATTAATCTTTATGAATTTTGCTTTTAGAGATATGCAGTAAACTAGTTCTACTGTTTGAGAAAATAACTCCTGTTTTTTTAAACTTAAACAAGATAATTACGATATTGAAGATTATTATCTTCAAAGTATCTTAAATATTTGACACAATTTGTGTGCGAAATTCGTGTTATGAGGACATTTGATAATCAGTTCAATATCTATTACCCTTACATGATTTTCGAAAATTGTATACCATTCACTTGTACCAATATGTTTGTTAGATGCAAATTGTAGGATTATAGGTATTGGGATTTATATTTTACGTGTTTAAAACATGTTTGTATTTAATGAAGGTAATTTGGTGACAGATATTTATATAGGAATGTGAATACAGGGTCCGATGTATGGTTTTTCTAAGGTGCTGTATCCAGAACATAACTTTTTAATCCTTAGTGTTTATACATTGTGATTTTCTCCTATTATGGTGCCATCTTGGTCTTGTTCCTGGAAGTCAATCCATATACCCAAGGGTACTAGCCTATGTCTCCAGTCATTGGAATCATCACATCATCTAGTGTGGTGATTCTTTTTGCCGAAAAGAAGTAAATATTTCTTGTGCAAACCATTTTAAGTAGTAAAACACCAGCATGTATTATTAAATAAATGCTTGATAGGCACACTATGCCGTAGTTGCACTTATGTAGTGATAAAATAGTAATCAGACATTTTCGAAACCGAAGTTAAGCCCAAATTTGGCAGATGTCAAAATTCCTGATATTTTTAATTCTTTTAGTCAACGAAATGATTCCCTCAAACAGAAAAATAAATCTGTTTGAACTGTTCTCGGTGGTGGTGTTTTGTAACATCTTGAAGTGTATGTAAGAAGTGTGGATTAAATGGTATATTATTTCCATTCAAATTAGTACAAAATGTACGATATTAATGGGTTAGTGATATTTGGTTGTCAATACTTTTAGTACTACGCATAATTACTAAAGCCTTGTGTACAAAGAATTCCTATATTTTTCAGAATTGCTTGAGTGAAAGGCGATCATTTTAGAGCTTTTTCAACTCCTTTGTGATGTGGTAAAAGGGCAAGTAACAATTGGCAAAAGTACTTACGACTTGAAACAGAATCTGTACTGAGACATATTTCAATGTGTGTTTTACATGTTGATGGTTTGATAGATTTTTCATGTATTTTAACACGAGCTATTTTGTACATATTTCACCTCAACTCTTACACAGCGTCTTCCAGTTATATGTTATGCTTCACTTGATATTCACGAATAAAAAAAACTACAGTTAGATAAATTGGTTTATTTATGTATATTATTTCTTTGAGACTGATCCAAGTAAACCTGTGAAAACTACGTCAGTAGAAAGCTGTTACGACTTGAAAAAAACTCTGCAAGCAGGGCCTTGCTTTTGCTCGGCGACCAAAAGAAGCCGCTGTAGCATGAATTTAGGTTTTTATGAAATGCGGACTCATTGGTGGTATTGCGCATGCTCATGCACAGATAATTAGGAAAGGGACCGGTCACGTGGGAGGGTTTAACCAATGAAAGGGGGAAAGAGTCCGATTTTCATACCATGATACGAGTCCGATTTTCATATGACACTGCCATTACTGAGCTGGCAACACGCGTATACCGCACGCGTTCTTTAAGTCAGGACGCGCGCGCATTATGGTAACCCTATTGGTCGAAGGAGCATGGGTGCGCGCGTACCACCTGTGCTTTAATGGCTTCCTAGAATCGATGTCACTGAATTAGTTTTATGGATTTCTACCAGGCAGTGCCATCTTGGCAACTACTTGTGCTTGTCACGTCTAGAAATATCGATTGCTGTCTTCTTAAACTCCTGAAAAATGTTCCTTGTGAGTGATCATCGATCGACAAAATGTATTTTAATTCTCTCGACTTAAACTGCGTGAGTTGGAGACATCCAGCAAGCAGAAAAGTAAGTATTTGTGATTTTTAGATATTGTCTTCATCTCGACAAGGACGGAGCTTTCACTAGAACAAACTCAAGGGAAACAAGTTGTGACAAAAATATCCACTTTTTTCCTTCAAGAAATACGCCGTTTTTATTCTGAAAATAAAAACGTAACATGTCGAATGTTCATTTTGAACCATAATTTCCAATGTATTTTGAAGGGGAAAAGGAAGAAATAAAGATGTTTAACACAAACACTCATTAGTGTGGGGAACTGTTCAAATAAATAACACGAATCCATTGAATTGGTGCATACACTAAAAACAAACTTTAAAAATGCCAGACAAAAATACACGCCGGGTGATTTCTAAACAGATCTGACTTAATTATTACAATAAACTGAATTTTTGTCATTATTCCATTTCTTCTGTAATCAATCTTCATGGGAAAAAAAATTGTTGTGTTTATGTGAACGAAGTCTGGTTTGCTCATTTTACAAAATATAGCAAAATACAAACGGATGTGAAACCACGCCTAGACAAAATTGCCACACACCATACATTTGTATATACATGTACAAGAATTATGTGTTCACTGCAAGCACTTGATTTTTATTTTAATGGACGAATGCAAGGTGTACATTCAGATGACAATTTAAATTCCATTGGGGAAACATGATATATCGGAATAATCTCGTTCACGGCGATATTCTTAGCCTTTTTAATGAATATTCCCAGCACAAACTTGTGGTGGCTAAATTTGTTTAGTAAAACACAAAGTAGAAGCCGGAAGATGTTCGTCAGTTAGACAGCACGAGCAAACGAGGTGCGACCTTGCTTGGCTGGGGCAGCGCGGCGTAGTCTCGGCTGAGCTGCGGCTCCCTTCGCTGCCTCCTCGGACATCCGTCGCAGAGATGCTCCTGCTTTGCGCTTGTGGTTCATGTTGAAATTCTTGACCTGCTTTCCAAACTGCTTGACGGTTTGGCTGATTTCTTCCTTGTTAATAGCCTCCATGTTCGGGGAGACCTGTGCGTTGGTCTTCTCGTCATACCGCTTGAGGTTAGCGAAGACGTGTTTCAGCTCCTTACGCTTGACGTCTTCAGACGCTGCGGACATCTTGATCTTGATGATATCGGCCAGTGCTTTCTTCTTTGCGTTCTCCTTGTGATATTTGCGATGAGGCTGCATGCTTGGTGATACTGACCCGTCAACCTGTTCGTGATTTGAACAATATAACGCCATAACATTAAAAAAAAAACCACCCCGAATACAATACATCCTCCTCAACTCCCTAAAACCTTTGACGGTAAAAATATAGACAGGAAATGGCAAACCACGAAATGGGAACTACGTATAAGTTTGTTGGTATAGAGTTCGGAAAGCAAGACAAACTCGGTGTATCTATCTGATGCAAAAATATTTGTTTTGGCGTTTGCTTTGCGCTACATTATTATACATGTACATGTACTACGCTAAACTATAAACTGTAAGTTTCCCAAGACTTTGGACGAACTCACCTTCGGCTTTCCTTCGGCGTTTTCAGCCCAGGCACAGGCCACAAGGGCCCCCAGTGCAACCAGAAGAATCACGGAACGCATCTTGCTAAAAATATCCACAATTCCACTCAATGTGGTCCAAAACTGGTGCAGGACGTGCTTTTGTCCTGTCGTTGAATGAGCGATCGCGAAAGAACGTTTTGCGTGTGGGCACCACAGCTACTTTCTCTTTAGATTGACCCCTTTTCTATTCAAGATCTTTCATTGATTTTTCCCCATTTGACGAATTCAGAAAAGATGGCCTTGTTATCGATTACTTTTGTTGATGTTCGTCGGACCGATATTCACTGCCATAACAACGACCCAAAGCAAATGAAGACAGTCGGCCAAAACCAAAAAGCTGATCAATGATGATAATTAGATGACGCACGTCCAATTTGATGAGAATTAGAGCTCTATAATAAGAGAACAGTTATAACGAACAACCCATAATTGCTCATAAACTTTGTGTAAGCCCATATCATATAATCCTTGGGCCAGGACCCCAAAATTCACCAACTTGTACCATCTGAGGTGGCAAAATCTCCTTTTTTTTTTCTTTTTTCTTTTTTATTGTTGTACATCTTTAGTTTACATTTTGATATGATAGCCTTTTCAGTGTGGTAGCTTATTATTGGTTTTCGCCCCTTGAATGTCCAGACCCCTGTTAACGTTATAATCCTTGCAACGTTATAATCCTTGCTGATCTGTATACGTTATAATCCTTGCTGATCTGTATAAATTCGGTGATCTTTCCTTACTTCTACCAGATATCAATATGGTACAAAAACAATTACGTAAGATGCAGTGTAACATGTGTAAATTTGTGTAAAACAGTGTAAAATTTTGTTACAATCTAAAACGTTGGTTCTTATAAAAGAAAACATAAACCAAAATATTATCAGAATGGTTAGGAGAAAAGCTTTATTCTAAGGTGAGTTCCAATTAACTCACGACCAAAATGTAGCAGATGATGTAGCCCCCCCCCCCCCCCCCGCCACACACGCACTCCATGCACTCTAGCACGTTTGTTTCTCATTGGTTTGGTACACGTTTTCTAATCGAGGTCGTCCTCGATTCGATTCACCGATGATGTTGCACGCACTGGCGGCGGAACCGCGGGGGGGGGGGGGGGGAGTTGCCCCCCCCCCCCACTTTTTACCAGAAGCGCTTTTAAAAAACGAGGTTAATTAAAATGATACATTCATTAAGAGGTAAAAAAGATTTTTGAACACGTGTCTCAATGTATCTTTTGCTCAGAAAATATTGGTTAAAGACTTGTGGTCAGAAATTGCCTCAGATCGCACCACAGAGCATCTAGAATCCTTATTTTTTTGGGGGGGGGGGCCCTTAAGCGGGCCCCGAACCCAACGCCTCAAGGGCTTCGCGCTCGCATCAGTTCTGATCAAGGTATGTTCCCCCACTTTTGAGAAGCGATTGACACCCCTGGTTGGGTTTGAAATTTGACAGAAGGCCTTATACCTAAGTGAGTATGGCGACACAAAATTAGAAAAATGATACGAAAAATAGGGATATACCGCGCTAAGAGAAAATAGTCCACATGCATAGGTTAGCAGACATTACGTAAGTCACACTTTCGTTTCGGACCAACTGCACACTTTTCCCATTTGCTTTGATTTTGCTTTAATCCTGCTCCGGGAACAGTAACTGGACCTTACCCCACCACTTTTAAAAGTGTTCCGCCGCCGATGGTTGCACGTGTGTGTACTCGATTAGTTACACCATAAACAAACGCACACACACCCACAATTTGATTTTAAGGAGGTCGGGTGTCCGGTAAAAAAACACCAACCTGTCTACTTAGCCTTGCAGCACAGATGAAATTTGTGGGTGCCCCCCACATGCAGACCCCCTAGAATGGAAACCCTGGCTACGCCGCTGTCCGCAACCGATTAACCCGCCGCTTTGCAAGTCGATTTTCCATTTATTATAGGCTAGTTTTTCCCTGGCCGGTGACAGGTAATTCTGTCCCCCTGGTAAATGTGTCCCCCCGGACACATTTACCGGCTCGTGACCTGGTAAATGTGTTCGGGGGGACACTTTTACCTAGGTAGATTTGTCCCCCTCCAGGTAAAATTGTCTCCCTGCCCAACGGTGACAGTGTCCCCCTGGTTAATGTGTCCCTATGCAGTATATACTGAGAGCAGCAGCGTGTCGCGCGCGCCAGTACATGCTGCAAGATTGTGGCAGTGATTATCACGTGTACATATGCGTCTCCCTCTACAATGGAAATTCATCCAATAGGAAATGTCGTTACGCCCCCCCCCCCCCAATAAAAAAATCCATGGCTACGCCACTGAATACACGTTATATTAAAATGAATTTTCGTACACTCATTTGTCATGATGTTTGACATCAAAAGATTTCATTTCATAATAAAAACGTCAAATTATCAAGCTATTATGACCGTAACAATACAGGATTTTAATTGCAACAAATACAATCCTAATGTACGTCAACATGGATTTTTAACGTTTAAAACACTAGATTGTTACGATCATATTGTATTTATAGCTCCACGGTTTCTCACGCCATTCAAACTACTCATGCTACACATCGTGAAAACTAATTGCATGAAATTTCAATTTAATCCATTTTGTATTTCTTGAGTAGTTCATCGGAAACGAGGTTGTTCTTTTTTTCAATTGTGCAGCATCCGTGTTGATGCGTTGCCGAGACCACTATTTATGTGGCGCGCCCTCTATTATAGTGGTCTCGATCTCCACCACCAAACCCGATTTCGGGCCAACAACTCAAGAAATACACTTTACAGTAAAATGAATTTTCGTACACTCATTTGTCATGATGTTTGCCGTCAAAAGATTTCATTTCATGAAAAAACGTCAATTAACCAAGCTATTATGACCGTAACAATACAGGATTTTAATTGCAACAAAATACAATCCTAATGTAAGTCAACATGGATTTTTAAATTTTAAAATACTAGATTGTTACGATCATATTGTATTTATAGCTCCACGGTTTCTCACGCCATTCAAACTACTTATGCTACACATCGTGAAAACTAATTGCACGAAATTTCAATTTAATCTATTTTGTATTTCTTGAGTAGTTTAGGAAACGAGGACATTCTTTTTCTTCACTTGTGCAGCATCTGTTTTGATGCGTTGTGGCGCGCCCTCTATATTATAGTGGTCTCGATCTCCACCACCTAACCCGATTCACGGGCCAACAACTCAAGAAATACACGTTACATTAAAATGAATTTTCGTACACTCATTTGTCATGATGTTTGGCATCAAAAGATTTCATTTCATGAAAAAAAGTATATTAACCAAGCTATTATGACCGTAACAATACAGGATTTTATTTGCAACAAATGCAATCCTAATGGAAGTCAACATGGATTTTTAACGTTTTAAACACTAGATTGTTACGATCATATTATATTTATAGCTCCACGGTTTCTCACGCCATTCAAACTACTCATGCTACACATCGTGAAAACTAATTGCACGAAATTTCAATTTAATCCATTTTGTATTTCTTGAGTAGTTCATCGGAAACGAGGTTGTTCTTTTTCTTCACTTGTGCAGCATCCGTATTGATGCGTTGTTGAGACCACTATTTATGTGGCGCGCCCTCTATTATAGTGGTCTCGATCTCCACCACCAAACCCGATTTCGGGCCAACAACTCAAGAAATACACGTTGCAGTAAAATGAATTTTCGTACACTCATTTGTCATGATGTTTGGCGTCATAAGATTTCATTGCATGAAAAAAACGTCAATTAACCAAGCTATTATGACCGTAACAATACAGGATTTTATTTGCAACAAATACAATCCTAATGGAAGTCAACATGGATTTTTAACGTTTAAAACACTAGATTGTTACGATCATATTATATTTATAGCTGCACGGTTTCTCACGCCATTCAAACTACTCATGCTACACATCGTGAAAACTAATTGCACGAAATTTCAATTTAATCCATTTTGTATTTCTTGAGTAGTTCATCGGAAACGAGGTTGTTCTTTTCTTCAATTGTGCAGCATCCGTGTTGATTCGTTGCCGAGACCACTGTTTATGTGGCGTGCCCTCTATATTATAGTGGTCTCGATCTCCACCACCAAACCCGATTTCGGGTCAACAACTCAAGAAATACACGTTGCAGTAAAATGAATTTTTGTACACTCATTTGTCATGATGTTTGGCGTCATAAGATTTCATTTCATGAAAAAAACGTCAAATAACCAAGCTATTATGACCGTAACAATACAGGATTTTATTTGCAACAAATGCAATCCTAATGGAAGTCAACATGGATTTTTAACGTTTTAAACACTCGTTTGTTACGATCATATTATATTTATAACTGCACGGTTTCTCACGCCATTCAAACTACTCATGCTACACATCGTGAAAACTAATTGCACGAAATTTCAATTTAATCCATTTTGTATTTCTTGAGTAGTTCATCGGAAACGAGGTTGTTCTTTTTCTTCAATTGTGCAGCATCCGTGTTGATGCGTTGCCGAGACCACTATTTATGTGGCGCGCCCTCTATATTATAGTGGTCTCGATCTCCACCACCAAACGCAATTTGGGGCCAACAACTCAAGAAATACACGAATAGGCCCCCCCCCCCCCTCATGAAATCTCGTCGCCCTCCCCCCCCCCCCCCCCGCAGTCGCCCACCCCAACTGAGATTTTGATTTTCTAAAATAATTATCATTGATCTACATGACGCCCCCCCCCCAATGAAATGTTCAAGCCCCCCCCCCCCTGAAAAATTCCTGGCTACGCCACTGAATACACGTTATATTAAAATGAATTTTCGTACACTCATTTGTCATGATGTTTGGCATCAAAAGATTTCATTTCATAATAAAAACGTCAAATTATCAAGCTTTTATGACCGTAACAATACAGGATTTTAATTGCAACAAATACATCCTAAGGCCAAAAAAAAAAGTCTCCGGTTTCTGGTATGCGCGCGCGTCGCCGTAACCATGCGCGTCGGCAAAATGAAAAAGTGTTTTTTTTTTCAATAAAAGATGATGTCTCAAAACCGCCAAATTCAATTGTTTGACTGGAATCCTGCTGCTGCACAATTTCAACGTGTTTTTAGATGGGGTTATGATCGAGAATAAGCTTTATGTGGCCACTCTGGTCTCCCATAATATTGGCACTAAGTTTAGTCGGGCACCATTTGC